CAGTTAATTTGTAGTGTTGCCAGACGTACTGGCGTCCATAGTATCGATTGTTTTGACCTTGCCTTACGTAAACCACAATTTGGCAGCTTTGTTCAGTTTTAAAGCTCTTTAATAGGGCACCATTTATCTTATTACTGCAAGTCTAACCGCCTCCATAGTTACGCGTCGTCTTTATATCGTTCACAATTACGTTTCTCCATCATCTACAGGTGTCTTAACGTTTCCCACTATTGGGCTCAGCTCTTTGACTTAACACTAGCTATGCTCTTAAGATAACACAATCAATATTATCAATATACTGAAATAGTACAAAATCTATCTAAACCCACCCTTAACTATTATTAAGGTATACGGTCGTCTAGTTTGCTCTATCAATTTAACCATGATTCACACATGTTAAAGTGTATTAGTATTTTTGTATTTGCGCATGTGTGAGAAGGGAGGACGAGGGTGGTCACCCCATTCCTAATAGTGGTGTACGTTAATATCGATATTGTTAGATTGCGTCATTTCAGTTTGGTCTGTTACAGTGTTTTTCTTGTGTCTAGGAGCAGAATCGATTACAATAGATTTTTTTTTGATATAATGCTATTATAAATAAGTGAGTAAATGAGAAAAAAGGAATGATGCATTTATAGATACAAAAACCCTCTTAGGACGTATTCTCCAAGAAATTATAATTTTCACGCATTAGCTTTGGCTAGTGATAAAATGAGTTCCAACACTTTATTGTTTTTTCATGTTTTTACAAGTATAGTTTGATATAGGCTTTATTCTTTTAAAAATATATTTCAGCTTCAAGCTTGACAAACCTTTTCTATACATTCTATACTTAACAAATTAAAAATACGAAACAATATAACAGGACTATAAATAAGGCCCTAAACGTTGACACCTGACTTATTCACTTAAAAACTGGCTATAGTCAACGAAGCAAACATATGAAAATCAGGAGTTGTACAGCATAAACAGCATAAAATGCGTTGTAGGAAAAGGTATATTAAGAGGTCCATTACCACCTCTGTTAATCGTGTAGGGCGTGTTCTATTAGCTCCTAATTCTTCACTTTAATACAAAATTTATTTGACTCGATTACGTAAAACTTTTGCCACTGAAAAGTATGATTACCATATGTATGACCCAATTCAACGGAAAACGTACTATCGATGTATATTACGTTTATCGACATCGCCCAGCACTATCCTCCTTCGAGCGTTAGTACGCATCCAACGACCGCCGTGGCTGGACGTCCAACGCGCCTTTTGTACCGGCGTTTTCATCGCCACAGTATTACGCGTCCATTTTCACCGTCCCGGTTTTGTACTGGAATTAGCTAGCCTTTGTATGTTTTCCTTTGAAGTTATGATAAAGGCTGTATTTAGTTCGCCTTTGGCGATCGGCGTTTGTTTAATATTTTTATTGCGTGTCTAATTGTTTTTATCGACCAGTTTGTGTCTGCATTGTGTCGATGCATGCTTTATCGAAAATCTATCGTTGAAAACTTGTACGTGCACAACGAAGTGGAGGCAGTTTCTAGTTCGCTTTAAATTTCTTTGCGACGCTTCGTTGCACAAAGAAATGGTTTTTGCACCAATTGTGAGGCACAAAAACTAATGGGTACGAATTGAGAAGGTCCTTTCAGGATGATCGCATGATAAGCAATGACGTATAAAATATGTACAGTTGGTAGAAATTAAAGAATCGTTACACACGAGCACTTTCTACTTTTATTTTGGTGAACAATTTGTGCCTCTTGATCTGCTCTACTAAGTAAATTCTCTAAACTCGATTATTTATTTACATTTTTAATTCTCTTAAATGTTTCATTCATTAGTAGAAAGTAGGGATTACGAAAGTAGACGTTAAATCATATATTGAAATAATTTTACTTTCTAAAAATTATTTTAATGCTTTACTGTTTCTTTATAATAGATTTTCTATGTATCTGAAAAATCCAGCTTTCCATTGTAAAGTTCCAAAGTCCCGAATAAGACATCTGACAACGCTGGTGAATAACAAGAATAATTAAGAATCGCTACATAATATTGTTAGGGACATAATATATGATGAAGAGTGAATTATTACAACATAATCTTGGAAGTCAGATTCTACTTCTTATAATATCAACGGATGTGCTTAATTGCAATCATTGCGTTTACTTAGTAATAGACAGACAATTAATTTTCCTGTACGTGATCGAATATGTTAAATCCGACGATAAATAATCACTGCGTCTCGGTGTTGTAGATCAATCACGCAGTGACAAATTACTGGAAATTTTGTTTGTATAACATCAAGTGAATCTTGTATAATGTATTTTTTATGACAAATATACATTATGCGTAAGAGTTAGAGAATAACGAATATGCCAAAACCAAAATAGGTAATACTAATAAAAAGCCAGATAACGTGCAAATATTTTTTTTTAACTTGGGCAGTAAATATAAGATTAAGAACTATAAAGAATGAACTAAACTAAATGAAAGGTATAGTATCTTTGACAAAATGGCTGCTATCAGCGGAATCTGCTATTTTTTAACTACATAATCCCATATTCATCTCTCTTTTTATCAGAAAGTCATTCATGCATGCCATCCATTTTCTGGTCTAATAAAATTTAAATAACCACTAAATTTCAGGAAATTGTAGATTTGTAAATTTTATTGTTATTTCGTTACTACGTACTAAAAATTACATTGTTGGCGTTCTTAATAATTTCAATACGTTATGAAACATTAATATTGTTATCGAGTTACGTAACGCAATTCAAAGAGAATTTATTTTACGATTAAAACTTGACTTACTTATCAATTTGTCACCATTAAACATAGACATTTTTACTCATTTCTGTGTATTTTTATGAAGCTTCATTTTTATAGTTACACTTGAAAATTCTTCAGGACTGTAAGAATTCTCACGAATACAATTTCTTGCTCATCCTTTTATTTCCTTCTGAAAGGAACATGACTCTTTTGTTTAACCCACCGAGCCATTTGAACATGATAGAACGTTACATTTAAACACTGAGTGTTTATTAAAAGGTGCAACCTAATACTAAGACAAGTAATTTCATAGATATTAAAGAATGCTCGATATAATTAGACTGCCATTTGTAACATTCGGATCGCTATGCATTGTTGCTTTCACAGTTTTAATTACGACATTTCTTGAGCGGACACTTTCTTTACTTTCTTTGTCTCGTTAGGAAGTTTGTTGTTCTTGTCTTTTTTTATTCCTAGAACGTCTGAACGACTACCATTGGGTTTTCTTAAATCTCGGTGTTAATTAACTGTCATGTTATGATTCATTTTTAACATTTAGTTTAATAAATTCTTAAAAGTATTTATTGATACATTTCAATTACGATGATCTATTTTTCTTAATTAGAAACTGACAGGCCGCTTAATGTTTCCGCTTCATATTCGTCAAAAAACTAAGTTTGTTACTTTTGTACAACATTTTAAAATTGGTCGTGATGATTTACTTAGCGCGCACATTCAAAATAACAAGTGACGCGAAATTGTACGCTATAACATAGCCTTGAATTTGACAATACTTCATGAAATCAAAGGTTGTTTATAATAACGATTCTCACGCCCAGATGATATAAGAACGAAAACAAACAAACCCCGTAATAAGGGATCAACGACATACTAAAAGCGTTGCGTAGGAGTGCATCTATTTTAAATCGGTGTTTTCCCTCTCGCTCCAGCTTATAGCAATGACGTATGTCTGTCTCGGGCGCGAGTTGGGCAATTATTGGCAAGGACCGGTGTGCCAAATTACACGTGGATTCAGTTCAGTAGTTTGTTATTATTGACTTTTACTTTTGTTGGCGTGTATACATTTTCATCTATCTGTACTAATACTATGCTAAATGTTTGAACGCCTAACGCTATAAGCGCGAGAAAGGCTGATTTTAAATTAAATCAAATCATTAATTCCGCATACACTTATTAAATAAAATAAGAAAAATACAATAGGTACATATATATTAGATGTATGTGGAGACACATAACTAAAGTTGTGTTATACCTAACAGCGAGTTTTGAATCCCAGAGAAATGTAGCTTCGGTAGTAGCACTACTACTAATGTTTGGATGAAATACTTTGCGCACACTGTATGCGCGAATTGTTAGGACAATTATTAAAATACCATTCGTATTTGTGTTTAATTGTATTTTAATGAATTACTTAGAACTTATAATTGTTTCGTTGCAACAGTAAAATGTGTTTTAATTTTTAGTAACATTATAGTTACAAATGTCGCAATTACGAATGTAAAAATTGAACTATTGGAAGAATTATATCATAAACTGATCGCAAAAAAATTAACTAGGTAGTGTAATAGTAATATAAATATTCCTTATAATTATTTACTTAAATATTAATTTTTCAGTAAAATCATTGAAGCTTTTTTTGATTGTTTTTAATATTTAACTTTGACCCCAATGATACAACGCTTTATTGCAAGGCCGTTACGAGAATTGAGTACATAATTGCATATGAAATTAAAAATATAACCTTATCAGTATAATGCATTTATAAAAACAAAAGTTACTTAAAAATGGGTTTAAAGTGCCAAATTTCAAATATTATCTCCCTTTTTTATTTAGATTACTATTTGTTCCGAGCATACAGAGCCACGTTGGTATGTTTCTTTGTTTGATTTTCGGTTATGCACTAAATTTAGTATAAAACCACTACTAGACCACAGTCGTCCACCACCTACTTGAAAGGGAGTGTGTTCAACTTGAGGGTAGATGTTTGTTTACTATTAGCTTAGTTCTTAACAGTGTTGCTAGTTACTTCGTTCTGTTCTGTTTTTCTTGTTGTAGTTGTGTTTTGTCTAATGTTGCTTCTTTTAAATTTCAGTACTTAGTGACCAGGCTTAATATATTTTCATAAAGATTTTATAGTGTAAGTGTACATAGTTGTCTGGTGTTGTGTAATAGTGTTAGTGTCGTGGAATGGATACATTTAACTAGAACTAACGTATAATGTCGAAGACACTCAACGCGTATAGGATGTGAGTATTACATTAGTGTGTAGACTAAAGGAACGACGGCTGAATAATTTTGTGTTGATTACATGTGTAAGAATTTTAATTCTTGCGAGATTTTATTTTCCCCATAATAGAGTTAACGTCTTGGAAGTAGTGAATGTGGGTTCGAGCTCCGCTCGTGTCATTCATGAGAAATAGTTTTAAAAGGTGTATGAAACATCCATTATAGAGAATGTTTGAAGACTAATGTACAAATCGTGATATTATTTATTATGAATAAGCAATATATTTTCTTGTGAGCTTAAAATGTGTGTGTGTTTTAGTACATCTTTAACGGTTTAAAACGCTAAATACATACATACATATCTTAGCTATTTTAACATTGTTACTGGAGTTAAAATTAACGAGTTTTCAGGGAGTCGCTAGACCTAAGGCCATGCATGTTTTTTGAACGACTGGCCACATTTTGTCTTTTGAGCCCTTATATTTGTTTTATTTAACAGCGATACTAAAAAAAACTTCTTATTAGTATATTAATATTTAAGTAAGTAGTAGATTTGCTGTACATCGTTACGAAGAAAGTAATGAATACTTATGCTTGCCTAAGTTGAGTAAATATATATTTTTCAGTAAAGGTTTCGTAATTAGTAATTTCGTTTAGTGCACTATCCCCGGAGCATCGCAACATCAATTTATCTTTTTTCAGCGTCTAGACGCGATGTTTTCTGTTGATTTACGGCGAATCGTTGTTTATTCATGCCGTTAATGGCTTTTTAATGCGCATTCATTTTTCAATTTGCCTCTGCGACTAGAATCTATTTCCGAATTTTCCCGTTATGATACGTTCAATCTTTGAACCATTAATTTGTCACTTATATACGAGGCAATAGAGCCGGAGTGGCCTAATAACATAACACATGATTTTCAATAAGTAGGAAAATAAAAATTCGCAATTAACTTAGGCGAAAATGACTTTGTACCATTATTTGTTAACAATTTTCGGTCACTGTGCTCTTGTAGATTAATATTAATTAACTAAAAAAATATAAATAAGCTAAGTCATAAAAAAATTGCAGTTAGGCTACTCTGGCTCTAGCGGCCTCATCTTTGATTTGGTTTCCTTGATCGGTTCTTTTCCAAGCAAGTTGTTGATCAGACTTCTGTGCCCTGTTCTACCGGAAACAATTTATTGTAGTGGGATTCAAACCCAGAACCTTACGAGCGTAACGCAATGTTAGACAACACGTTTAACCATTTGGCTACAAAAACCATTTGACTTAATAGAAATTTTTAATTATCTTATTTTTTGAGATATAGGTGGTGTAACAAAATGAAAAGTAGAAATATTCTTAAATAAAACACTTTAACGGTTTAAAACGCGATGTATATTAGTTAAAACTATTTTGAAATTATTTTAAACGCGTGTGCATAATTCTCTAATTATGTACTTCTAACACTAAGTTGGTTAAAATTCTTGCAAACGATTTCATAGTTAAGTTTAACTGAAACCTGATCGGTTGAAATGATTAAATGTTTTTTTCATTCTTTGTCCCGACTGGCCGTGTCAGAATTTAATACAACTAAGTCCCAACAAAAAGAGTCACTTGCACTTGGCGTAATTCCAATAAAGGGAGGGTGGCCTTTGTTTTCCCATTCATATGATGTCTGTACCTATTATACATTATAGACAAACAAACATATATATGGCATATTGAATATCATGTTTGTTTTGTCTGTAATGAAACTGTCTGGGTTTGTGTGTGATTGTTTTTTAGATGTGTATATAGGAAAGCGCTGTAGTTAAAAATATATTTATATAGTTTTTTGAACGGGATCGTCGCTCCAAGGCTAGCAATGAATGCAATAGAATAGAGTTATGATCATTCTGAAATAACACCAGATTTACAATAATAAACTATTTTTACAAACACTATAAGTATCGGCGTAATATGACTTATATTGAAGCCATATTGAATCACATCTAAAATCAATTGGTGATGGTTCTGCCGTGAAGTGTAATCTCGCTTATCAGTCTATAAAATTAAATAAAACACTTTAACGGTTTAAACTCAACTTATTTGAAAATGATTTTTAACTCGGCCCGACGTTTCGGATGCTTTGCAGCAGCCGTGGTCACGGGGAGATAAATAATAAATTTAAATAGTGTTTTATTTCAATGTGTACTACTCGCGTAAAATATAGACAGTATTTAGTCTATAATTTTTTAAATGTCCGCAGCCAAAGTTGATCGATACAGATATAAATATTTTAACTTACATCAATAGATTCGACGCTTGTGTGTCTCCTTCTGTACAAACGCCTTATAGACTGATGTTTTGATAGGTCTTAACAAAAATGAAGTATTCCTTACAGATTAAGTTGTACCGAAAAAAGATCGTACTAGAACTCTTCGGTTGTAACTGAAACTTGTGTTGAATATTTTCTACAAGTTCCCGAAAGGCTAACGATCTTATGACGGTGAAGTTAACACGTAAATCAAATGTTTGAACAGTTTTCTGCGTCTATAAAATCGTGGCATGTTCTTGTTCAGTAAAAATATGATAAAATATTTTTTTTGTTGTAGAAACACCTATTTTACTTAATAAATACAGAAAGAAACATCGCTTTGTTTGGGGCAAATACGGTTTTCTCTATGAAAACATTGACGTCCCTTGTAGAATGTAACCTCGGTTAGGAGGGTTGTCGCCCTTGGTATCCATGGCAACGGCGTATTTTATGCTACTCGCGTCGGCTTTGGGGAGGCTATAAAACTTTGTAGTCTGGACTTGGGCGGGCGGGGCGTAACTTGGTTAGCTTTCAAGGTTTTGCTATGAGATTTTGGTGAGAATTACCCAGATTGTATTGGGAAGCTTTTGAAGGTTTTCATATTATAGTAAGGGTTATTGTAAAAAAAGATATATATATTATATATCAGTTCGTATGTTAATACATACATACTCGGTATTTTACAAGTTTCGTGGCCTTTTACAAATAACACCCTCGTAATTAAAAGAATTTAAGAGACGTAGAGGTCTTACTTAATACGTGATAGGCCTCATTCATTTTTACAAATTCATCTTGTTGTTTAAATAAACCTATCTTTCAATGAAGCGCTGCTTCAAGCCATGTACACATCCCCCCCCCCCCATTTCTGAGGGTGAGTTAGCACACTCCAACTACAAAGTTAACCCCGCCGGGTGTTTTGAAAACGTGCTTAATGAACTATGAAACACGGCAAACGACAATTATGTTGGACCTAACGAGCGAATACGCATCTCTCTTTCTGTTCATATGAGACAGACAGAGATGGCGGATTCCCGAACCTAGTTGGAGGCTTTTATTTTTAGTGTCGTTATTTATAGTTCAGACGGAGTGACTATAATGCAATAAAGTTATGCTAAATTAAGACTTGACGAAGACTAGCTAAAACTTCTAGTTTGTCTGCCTTTATCAAGAATTTTGAAGAAATCGTTGCTCTAATACCTATCAGGTGGTAGCCATCAAGCTTCTTTCGGTCTTTTAATTTTACGAAAAAATTTACCGGTTAATTTTCGTTATATAACTCTTTCTCTATAAAGATAACGAGATATTAGTTTTTATTCCTTGATATAGTGTTCTTTCAGCAACATGTATTTCCTTAGTTAAAAAACAATTTAACGGAGATTGTATTCAAATCGGTGTTAAAACTATAATTACTATTTTCACTATATAAAATATGTTGTCTTCCTATTTTTTGTAACGTAAAACATGCAACTCAAAATCATTAAATGTTATATGTCTTATTCAAAAATTTTCTAATCTAAGTATTGTCTATATTTGTGAATTTCTTTTTACCGGTTAAAAACGCGAAATGTATTAGTTACCAAATAATTGCTATTACAGACGTTTCCACACGAAAAAAATTTATACAAATCGGTGAAAATTGGTAACATACAAAAATACCTACTCCAATAGGGACCTTTTTGAAATTCAATTACTTTAAACTGCCAAGTTAGAATAATGTTAATCTCGACTGTGTGAAAGCTATTGCAAGCTAAGGCATTCCGGCTACGTGCTTACGATGGCTGCCCTACATTCTCTAAATACCTCTCTGGTGCTAGTAGTGTAAGAATATTTAATATTCTTAATAGTCTTGAAGGCATACCGGAGAGTATTACGTAATTGCTGGTAGTGTTAAACCGAAGATCTTCTTACGAAGCCAAACTTTCGGTCGGAATCTACGGGGGGGGGGGGGGGGGGGAAAAAAAAAAGAAGAAAAAAAGAGAAAAAAAAAAAAAAATATAATAGGGGGGGGGGGGGGGGGGGGGGGGGGGGGGGGGGGGGGGGGGGGGGGGGGGGGGGGGGGGGGGGGGGGGGGGGGGGGGCCCCCGGCGCCCCCCGCCCCCCAACAGGGGGGGGGGGGGGCGGCCCCCCCCCCCCCCGCCCCCGGGCAAAAAAAAAAAAAAAAAAAAAAAAATTTTGGGGTTTTAAAAAAAAAAAAATTTTTAGGGGGGGGGGGAGAAGGGGGGGGGGGGGGAAAATTCCCAACAAAAAAGGGGGGGGGGGCCCTTTTTGGGGTGTGGGCATTCGGGAAAAACCCAGAAAAAATGAAACGGGATCACACTTGACTTTTCCATCCGTGGTCGTGTGGTTCGTCTGTGTATTCCTGTGGTTTGTGACCCGGATTTAAATTCTAGCTAACCGTACATCATTAATCAGATACTTTGTAACATAACGGACCAATCTACCAACGCTGACATAATACATCTATGTAACATCGTAACTAAGTTTAATCGTATTCAGTCGGCTTTGACGTTATTTGAGTCGAGATCTAGACTTATAACCGATAATCTCATTTCAAGAACGCGACTTGCTGGATCAATTGCTCTTGATAAGATTGTCGATAAATAGATTCTTTTTTATTTTTTTTTCACCCAAAGTAGGGTCAAGGTTTTGAGATATGATATTTCTTACTTAATGTAACAGTGGTCCGGCTGCTGAAGGCATCCGAAAGTCGGCTGAAGTTAAAAATCATTTTCAAATAAGTTTAACTAATATATCGCGTTTTAAACCGTTAAAGTGTTTTATTTACATTTTAAACTGATTAGAAAAATGTTGGACCTGGTGGGGATCGTTCTTAAGACCCGTTGATTATTAGCCTGTAAGTCTGTCCTCCTTTTCCTAAAGAAAGATTTTCAAGCCATTGCCCGGCTCAACCGTTACGTCTTTACGGTTTTAAACATATAACCGGACGCGAAGTGTTTACTAAATGAGTCGAGCACTTTCAATTTCCAATCTAAATCAGCGGACGCGAAATGCAAATCGTTGACCCATATCCCCAAGCTGATATTAATGCTAGGCGTATTAGTTCCTATCGCATTCTACGAGCCTTATTGGGCTAATTGAGTTACAGTTATATGTTACGTGACTACGTGATGCTAATATTAACAGTTTGCACATTTGTTTTGGAATTCTTCAACACCTTAGTGAAATTCTGCATGGAAAACTATTTTGATAAGTTAGGATCAATTAGCATGAACAAGACACCACATTTTGTGGTGCTACATGATGGCACTAAAAAAAAAAAAAAAAAATGTTTTTTGTTTGAAAAAAAATACGACACGGGTACGTGCTGTGCAACAGCATAGGATTTAATCAGGATTTTTAATTTGTGTAGCTATAATTGTAATATTAATTTCTGTCAATTGTCCGTTACTAGCAATTTTGTAATAGCCCTAAACATTCGTCATCATAGCACGAAGTCTGTAGTTTACGCTAGCCGTTGCTTAAATAAAACATGACATTTAAACAGCAGACGTGGTCACGGCCCACGGGGCGCCTAAAGATGGAAAATGTCCCTAATGTCAACCCTAAAACTGCTGCATTACTACTACGATTGACCAAATTCCAAATACGACAAAACAGATGGCGCTGGCGTAGTACTTTTTTACTCCGAGTTTTAAACCAATAAAAGTGTTTTAACCTTAATCAACGTTAATTATGCCCGGGAATTGGGTCTAAATAGCATATGTTGGGAATCTATAAAGAAAAGGTATTTTCGGAAACCCCCTCAGTTGTGTAAATCATTTTGCTGTGCAAATCAGGGCCTACTACTTTATAAAACATAAACAAAAGTGTATGCAAATCATTTATGATTTCAAACTAGCCTTATAGCCTTTTAGCTTGATTACGCAGTAACACCCAATATTGACCACCGCCTCCTTTAACAAACAAAACGCAAGCCACAGTAACCACAAATAAATACGAAATCCAATGAAACCAAATACTCTGTGCTTACCGCTAAGCTTTGTAATTAAGTTATACATACAAGGACGTCTACTATTTGTATGTGAAGATTAGGTGGCTCTCAAAATAGGTCGCGCAGCGTATTGTTTGTAGATATATGGCTGGAGTATTTCACCTACCACGGAGTGAAACCCTGTTCTCTATTATAAACAATACTAGCTGCTGATCACCGTGAAAATAGTATCAGCAGAATTGTTATCAGTCTACTCTCTCAAATTCGATTCAGCCGCTTATAGTACAAAGCTCTTTAAAAGATTGAACCAGTCAATTACAAAAGAAAAGATATACTTTAAAATTTTGTACGCTTCTTTTGTAACTCGCGCGCATATACCATATTACACGTGTGTATGCAGTGTAGAAGTGTTTAAATTATGTCTAAAATAAAATAAGCATAGGAAAAATAATGATCATTAATTGATAGAGAATTTAGATTTAATGCCATTTGTGTAACGTTTTAAATAAGAACTCGTCTATTTTAGACCTCTCTTTTTTCATCTGGGTCATCATTGACACCGCCAGTCGCGGATTCGAGTCCCGTTTGTGTCAGTTTTGTTACCTGTTCAATCCAAATGACACTATATGGTTAACATGAAAAATAATCAAATTCATGATATCTATCGTTCATTCGTATCGATTGAACTGGAATACTGGGTGTCGTTTAAACGAGTAGTACTCAAATAAAACCTTTTAACGGTTTAAAACGCGAATTATATTAGTTAGTCTTATCGTGACCATGGCTGCAAAGCATCCGAAACGTCGGGTCATAGTTAAAATATTCTTCAAATACCTTTAACCAATATATTTAAAGCGATTCGCCTTAGGAACTCTCTTTCCACTTATATCAGAAAAGCTCAATCTCTCCGTTCTTTTAAGAGTTTATAAGTTTTACCTTTCCTACTCTTAAGTTATTCTCTCCCCCTACTATCTCTGTGCTATGTATTCTTTCTTTTGCTTGTCATTCCTTCTACACCTACACACTTAATAAGTCTTTCTCTTTTCTCCTGTACATCAGAATGCCTGGAAGAGATCGCTGCTTAGCGAAAAGGCTGCCTTTTATTTATAAGTTAGTACGTAAGATGATTTCTCTTTTTGTATGGGTTATAAATAATAAGTTTATAATAAATAAACATATATTTAAGCGTTTTAAACCGTTGAAGTGTTTTATTCAAATTCAAATTTACTCTACTTAAACTTTTTTCTACATTCTGTACGTGTTGCCTGTTAAAAAAAGATGGCTGATTGTAGCAGTGTTGTGCCATCAATAAATACTCTTCAATCGGATATCCCGCGGTATTAAGCTATGCCCAGTGTTGAGTGTCGCGTTTCCCACTGCTCCCACGCTGTCATCATTTCCTGTTTCGATATTCCATTATTTCGATGTTAGCTTAGGCGATATGTTGATGTCAATATTTGTACTAAGTCAATTTTTAAAATCAACAAATTTTTACAATAAAACGTTATATTTAAAAAAAACATAAAACAAAAACAAACAGATACATATAGTACATTCTTTATTACAATCATTTTTTGTCATTAAATACTCTCTGTAGTTTGTTTACGCGAGTAGCGCACATTTTAATAAAACCCTAACGGTTTAAAACGCGATATACTTTAGTCGCGATTCGCGAATCACGCATGGTGATAAGCCTCGTCTGTCGTAATATATTTCGCATTTTAAACCGGTAAAGTTTTTTATTTAAATGTGTACTACTCGCGTAAAGTACAGACCGAATTTTAATTCGGATATTTATCATGTTCGATGCCACCGTAACGGCATAGTGTTAAATGCAACACGCTGCGCAGTCTGCATTTGTGCAAAGCATTTCACGCATGCCACTTCTAATTGGCATGGAATCAACATAATTAATCGCGAATCACGGTTGGTAATAATCACCCCGTGTGTCATATCTAAATTCAAATCTTACGTTTTGAGTAGAAATCGTGTTGATAACAAAAAAAGTGTGGAAAGTAAGTCTAAAGGTTAAAAAACGAACCTTATTACTAGACGTCTCTTTGTCTATCACCAGATTGTATTTTTAGAATTACGGTCTTAGTGCAATGCCAGAAAACAGGTTTTATTGAGGCGAAGACGACTAGAGTTGTAGCCTAAAATTAACTTTTTGAACCTACTGCAGTGGCGAGTCCTATTTTTATTCAATGAGAGGGGGGAAAAAAAAAAAAAAAAAAGACCCCCCCCCCCCTTTTTCAGGGGGGGGGTTTGCGGCAGGAAGAAACGAAAATGAAATGAAACTTGATATCTATCCATATTTCCAAACCAAGTCCAAGATGTTTCAGAAAAATTAAATTATGAAAATTATGGCCCCGGTGGGGATCTAACCCACGAGCCGTTGATTATTAGCCGTACTATGCTACCATTACACCAACGAGCCGGTCAAAATATACTTCCCGCCGTAGTTGAACCACTTGTACTACAATATTACGGCATCTTGAACGTCGGAATGTTGAAGTTAAAAATTCCATAGTGTTTTAAGCGAGTATAAGTTTAACTAAATAATCGCAATTCATACATGTAACTAAAATATACTGAATTAAAGTTGTTTTATTTAAAATCACCCGATACTATTTTTCAAGGTTTTATTCACGGTCGTTGCGTATCTTATTTACTTGTCAGTGTATCATATGTGTGTTACGTATTAATTCAATCGTTTGAGCTGTTGGATTTATCTAGATCATTTATCTGCTCTTATCGGAAGGACAAAAACGTGCTTTTATTAAAATTTGACCATTTTCTCTATTTCTTCCACTGCTTTTAGCTTTAAGATCTACGAGTTATTTTGTAATTTTCATAGACTAAAATCGAAAACCGGATTTATAATACTGTATTTATTGTAAAGACTGTGTCGCTATAAGTTTTTACATTTTAATTTATTAATCGCATAGAAACAACAGAGGTCTGATCAGCTTGCGTGTTTATAAAATCTATAAGTAAAGCACACCATAATTTTTTTACATAAATATGTAAAATTGGCGGATGTTGAAACAAGAACAATTATGCAGTATTATTTGGATACTTGCTGAATTTCAATGTATTGGATCTTGCGAGACCTACATCCAACGGTGGTAGGAAATGGCTAGACAATTTTTGATAAAACTTATACGATTTTATATGACATATTCCGTAGTGGGACAACTGCCTTAGTAAATATGCCCTATGTCTATATTTAATAAAACTCTCTTATCCCCAGAAAGAAGATCGAATCCCTCGGCAGAATGACGGCTATGACGCAGGAGGAGATGGTGGCCGGCGCGAGGACGGTCGCCGCCGGCCTCGAGGCGCTTAGAGCTGAACAAACGCAGCTGTTAGCTGGTCTCGCAGCCAACACGGATCACGAGCACGAGAAGGCGGCGCTCGTGAGGAAGAGCATCGAGTCTATTGAACTCGGCTTGGGGGAGGCTCAGGTAAGGAACGAAGCGGGGAATTAAAAGTCGATTATACATTTTAAAAAGCTGCGACTCAGGCAGTCTTGGCGGGACACAGCGTTTCGTGCTGTTGCTCTAACCAATTGAGCTGCCGTGTCGTCGATAATTAAATATAATAATTCATTATATAGTGCCATCATGTGCAATAACATGTGGTCTCAACATAATCTTGCAAACAACGTTTGAACAAGACAAGGTTCTTTCTAAATTGTGCTACTCAATCCTTTTTGAAATTTACATTTAATAAACAAATAGAATGTAGCATCTTGTAAAATGCAGGCGCACAACGTTACATTCCTTGTCTGTCGCTCTAAAATATAACACATTATTGGAAGTCTTTGAAAAACGTTCACTTTGATGAAGAACTGGGTTAGTGGCGTTATCTATTCAAACTTCCGGCTTTATCTGCCCGACTATCGAAAGGCTGCCATGTGGAACAGCTCTTTGAAGCTAAACCTTCAAAGCCTTACATATTGCGCCCTACTTCCAGCCTTCGCGTGTTATGTGAAACCTAGTAAAATAAAGGGATCTCAGAGGACAAAAACTTATATAGTCTGTTGGTTTACAATTTTTTGTCTAAATGAGAGTGTGTAGTTGTCGCGCCCTAATAAAATGTTGTTTAGTTATTATGATTATGTTATTTAGATAATATCTCACTCGTTCTTGTTTTGAATAGACAAAATATTTTAAATTACGCCAATTTCGTATATTCAAGAAAATAGCTAAGGTAGGTTACAAAGCTTTAATTTCTAAGGCTTTTTCCGTAATACATAATTGAATTTAATATTTTAGCATTGTTTGTAGTTACGCGGTTACACAATTATTATAGTATAGTAGTAGAATAATAATTATTAATGATTAGGTAGTGAAACATTTTACGGGTCGTGTCTTGGATTATCACCGGATTCAATGTGTGAATATAAAAAAAAGTCATAGCAATATAGAAATCGTATCCGGATCACGAACCGTTCACAGATGAAGCTTAATCGCGTTTCAGCCCAACGGTATAACGGTATACGGCCGTAGCTTGAGGGCGCCAGTTCGTAGCATACATAATATGTAGTCATTGAAAATTTTGATACCCGAAATTTGTGCAACGGAGCGTGAAGGGCGTTGAAAAAGCAGGTCCACTTGCAGTGCTAAGAAGGTCGAGTGTGAGGCTCTACAGTTTTAATAACCCGCCGCCTAAACGCGCTCACCATAATTTAAAATGGACAGCTAATTCGTAATTAAAATGTGTAGGTCAGATTGTGTATTTGTAGGTCTACCTATCACTATATATGTCGATGCAATACAATAAAAACTTTTACTTGAATATATTTATATAATTAACTGAGATTTTATTCCTAAATTTATGGGACTAACTTAATTAATACGTAGCTATACTAACATTATAAAAGTTATTAGAGACGCGCTAATCTCAGGAACTGATTGTTTGAATTTAAAAAAAATACTTTTGCTTTGAATAGACCATTTACCGAGAAAGGCTTTATTATTTTTTACATTACGCTGCGTCAAAATGTAGACAAGTCGGAAAAATTAACCCTCTTTGAGGGCTTCCGTTGCGTGGCGCTAGGAAACGGTTCAAGAAAACAAGAAATATGTAACTCGCAACAACCGTTTCTATAGCAATCCAATTCGGTCGAAATTAAGGCATACTTGTTAGAGTTAGAATAATATTAATCTTGTAAACAACAACACAACGTTTGCCTTTTCAGCTAGTAGGTAATATAACCTCTCATACCAGGGTTAGCACACAAAGGCCGGCACTTAGTAAAGCCGCGTACACACTGGCGATATGATTGCAATCGTTATTAAGAGCACTCCGTCGTAATGAGCTCAATGCAAGGGTTGTCCGCCCCTCGGGGTCGATGAACTGGACTGGGGCTGTCTGCTGAACGTTTCTGTGCAGGCGAGACAGAACTTAGTGGCTAATTAAATGGTAGGCTAGGCTAATACTTAGCCTACACAGCCACTACTTAGGTTTTTAATATTTATAGCGGTTTGGGTTTTAATAATACATCCAAAGAAAGAAAGAAATATTTATATAGCGAGTATATTTGAGTTCAAATAACATGTTTTAATCAACACATGTCTATGTTCTTTTACTATATTTTGTCAAGCAAATGCATTTTACTTAATAAAAATAAAAATTCCAAACTTTATAGGTACAATACTTGCTGACCTGGCAAATGTTTTTGCCGTTTAAAGTATTTCGACTCAATTTGATTACAATAAAGGCGGTTCTTGTGAGTTCGTAAAAGGTAGATATATGTTACGGACTGTTTTAAAGATTATTCAAAAAAAAAAATATTTTATAGATATCTTGAACCATTTTCGCAGCGTATCAAACAAAATATTGAAAAAAAAACAAAGTATTTCCCATATTTCCTAGCTGACATGATAATATTAGAATTAACTAGTCCGGCTAACTATTAACCAATAAAAATGTTCGCAAACCCGGCATGAAAAAGCTTATTCTTACAACGTATTAAAAAAAAACATGTCATAATACAGGTGATGGTGGCCCTCGCGTCTCACCTGCAATCGGTGGAGGCCGAGAAACAGAAGTTGCGAACCCAAGTACGCCGCCTGTGCCAGGAGAACGCGTGGCTTCGTGACGAACTTGCAGCAGCGCAGCAGCGCTTGCAGGCGTCCGAGCAACGGGTCTCGCAGCTGGAGGAGGAGAACAAACACCTGGAATTTATGGCGTCTATCCGGTAAGAATTATCGATAATATCCTGTTAAAATTTTATACGAATTGTCTATTAAATTTACAACTTATTAGTCTTTGAAGATTCTGTTTTGTTTTTAAGTATGATTTGATTAAGAGGAAAATATCACCTTTACTGACAATCTAGTCTTACATTTAATAAATAAAATTGTATTTATATAAGAACTTTAACGGTTAAAAACGCTAATTATACTTTTCAAATAAGTTTAACTGATATATTTCGCGTTTTGAACGCGCGTTTGTTTTTTTTAACGTGTGCTCTTCGCGTAGACTACTGATCGTTTTTAATGTTGTATTTTTTAATTTTACGGAGTTACTAAAGATTGGATAAAAATTATTTCCAGTAAATACGACAGCGATGTGACAGAAGAGAACGACACAAATCGCAGCGGACAGACAGACAACAAGCGCGACGACCCGATGGTCGATCTGTTCCCCGACGATGACCACGAAGACAATAGGAATAATAAGTGTATGTATTGCTAAAAATATTAGGAGTATATTTTCGCTGTAGGCTATTTTTTTAACAACCGGTCACAAGGCTGCGCAATTAAGCAGTTCCAACAATTGTAAATTGTTTAAGGCTTTCACGGCCATCTTTCAGCATATCATTGTCATCATTCTAGTTCTTAAACCCAGTTAAGAATAGATAAGCTACTTATCATGACATCGTAGTTAGGCTACTCTGGCTCTAGAGGCCTCATATAATGTTGTTTTGTAAGTAAATTTGACTTATAACATTGAACAAACTTAGCACAATGACACATTTAATTTACTACATCTCTTGTTTCATATTTCAGCGATGTCACCAACACCACCATCACAGTTCGCGCAGCAAGTGAACGCGGGCTACGAGATCCCGGCTCGTCTGCGAACCCTCCACAACCTGGTGATCCAGTACGCCTCCCAGGGCAGGTACGAGGTGGCCGTCCCGCTATGCAAGCAGGCGCTCGAAGACTTGGAGAAGACGTCGGGCCACGACCACCCGGATGTCGCTACTATGCTTAATATATTGGCACTGGTATACCGGTAAGAAAAATGTGCTTTGGCGCTACTGCAATCAATAATTGTTAATGATTATTAATTTGAAACTACAAATAGAGGTCGTTTTTTAAATCTTTGCTATATATTAGTATACGTTTCTACATGCACAGGCTGTTAATTAAATTTACTTTTACTTATACTTTTGTATAAAACTTTTATGTCCCTAACAACTACATAATGCAAAGGAAATGAAAACACGCACTTCACTATATTATTTATATATATTACCTATAATCAATGTTTCTTGTTAATTCGAAAAAGAGTTGTCGCACATAAACTGCTACACCGATTTTAATGTCATTTTGCTATATCTAGTTCAAAAATGCGATTAGTATATCAGCGCCCGTCTTACGAGGTAATGTTATGTAAGAACGATTTTGCAACATTCCAGAGACCAGAACAAATATAAGGAGGCTGCTAACCTCTTGAACGACGCGCTGTCCATCCGAGAGAAAACTCTCGGCGAGAATCACCCCGCTGTGGCTGCTACTCTTAACAACCTTGCTGTGCTCTATGGAAAACGAGGTAACAAAGCTCTTTTAATTAATTATTATTTGTATAAGTCTTCTCATTCTCACGGCCATCAAAATCTTGTCAAGATGTATGGTTGGGGTATTTCTCCTCTCATAAAGTGAACCGTCTGTTTGTCTGTCCTCTTACTAATCTGAAACGGCGTCCACAGCGATTCGTGTTGCCGCTCTAACTAGTTGAGCTACATCATATACATTGTTACTGTTCATATGCTAACAAATACTTGCTTGCACGTAACGATTAATAAATATTAACAAGAGTAAGTCAGCATTGCCGATACGCAAACATTATGTACCTGAAAATGTGTGTTAATTAAATCACAATGGGGTACGCGAAACGACGAACGAACACAATTGCCATGCAAATACTTGTTTTACATAAACTAAATAATATTTAGGAAAAGCTAATATATGTCTACATATGTTCAGGCAAGTACCGTGAAGCCGAACCGCTGTGTAAACGAGCGTTGTGCATCCGTGAAGCGGTTTTGGGACGCGACCATCCCGACGTGGCGAAGCAGCTCAACAACTTGGCTCTTCTCTGTCAGAATCAGGTACGCGTGGTACACCTGTAACCATAGCAACCGATATGTGTGGCTCATTTTGGCTAAGAGAGGTTGTTTTCGACACAGCATTGTATTTGAGTATGGAAGTTTAGTATCTAGAGGCATTGAACTGAAGAATGAAAAAGTCAAGAGTTTTTAAAGAACACTCGTCAACAAATACTTTGGTCTGCTTCGAACCGGTCGGACCAAAATTTTCGATAACATTGTAAATTTAGCACAATTATTTACTGTTTACTTCTCGTATTTTGTCATGTTATTGTCATATATACTTAAACGTTTATTTACGCATTTATATTCTAATGATTAAATTTATATTTCAGAATAAATACGAAGAAGTAGAGCAATATTATCAACGTGCGCTGGAGATCTACGAGAGCAAACTCGGGCCGGATGACCCTAACGTTGCTAAGACAAAGAACAACCTTGCCTCTTGCTATCTCAAACAGGTACTGTTTCTAATTCTTACGTTGTTTTACTCATCTACATATATTTATGCAGATCAGGACAAACGATAATGTATAAACAAGATGCACTGGTGACCCATTGTGCATTTGTCACTAAAAATTCCTCAGACTGAACCCGACACAAGTATTAACATCTTGCTGGCTTTCGTATTTGGTGTTTTGGGACACATGGGAAAATACCTTTAACTTTTTAAAGTATTTATAGCGATATATATTAGTTAAACTTTTTAATGTACCCAGTGTACGGTGGGAATCAAACCTGCGATCACGATTAATCGCCCAAAAAAAATACTTTGCTCTTTTTATTGTTATACCAATAGATGTTTTTGTTTTAATACGTTTCTTGAGAATACAAAAATAAAATCGTTAAACGTAGATAGCTCTCAATAATAACAAAAGATTCCTGGCAAGATTTCTATCTGTGACTGTTGTTTAAATATAAAATATTCTGGAATATCTTATAATCTTTATTGCAGGGCAAATACAAGGAAGCGGAGACTCTATACAAACAAGTGTTGACTCGTGCGCACGAAAGGGAATTCGGAACTATTGATGGTGAGTCACTTTCTATTGATCGCCGGTTTGGTAATTATCCTCATAAACTAAGCAAAGATATAATACGACTTTTAAGGTACATTTTTAAAGAGATATCTTTGTTTTTTACTTAATTAAATGATTTGGATGAATTGTGAGAACCAGCTTATTTGATTTTTTTTAAGATTTTTCTTTTATTTTTTGTTTGTTTTTTCAGAGTATATAGCGTCATTAAAAAAGCCATATACCGTCATTAACAAATCATCCCCCTAGCTATAAGCGATATAAGATGTGCAACACATTGCCCTCTGCATTCCTTTATTTTAAGCTTTAGGTGTATTGAAATAAGATCGAAGGAGATATAATTTAGTACTTACCTTGTTTTCTTGTATATGAGAATTTATAAAGACTTTGAAGTAAATTATATACATACGAAGAGTTGTGACAGAGTATTTAGTAAAGTTAATTCTGTTTAATTTTTTCTAACTCAAATTTATATGAATATTTAATAAAATGAATGTTAAAAAGTATTTTTAGAAGACCAAAACTTAAAATTCTACTAAAGTCTACGAGGCTATTTGTGCTGCGTGTTATTATTATTTTTTTAATGTAAAGTCTAGCTTAAAAGGCTTGCTTTAGTAAAGAAAATGATTGAAAATTTTAAAAACAAGGCTTACGCAGTTGTTAGTTAAGTTCCTTAGTTTTTCTCGTTGGCTTTTTCTTTCAAACGTAGACAAGCGATAACGCGATTATGATAATGCCCAGCGCACACATAGCAAGATAGGAGATTTACTGCCGAATATCTTTAATGTCACTTCAGCTTACAATGTTTGGCTATGTTTTGTCCCTTTCCCGCATCATATCTTTAGTATTCTAACAAAAGAGGCAACATGATATAGCTATTAGTTAAATATTATTAAAATTCTAACGGATTTATAATCTTGCGTTATTCACGACTAGGTTTTAAGAAGACTCGCCTAAATTATCGCTTGTGTACGTCAACCTTTACCTTCTAGATCTCTGCCTGCATTTGGTGAACACTCGAATGTTTTGAGTAGAGTTAGTTTTCTTGCCTTAGATTAGTCGGAAAATGTATCGTGAAATGTATCTGTGAAGCAAATATAAATATGGTGATAATATATTGTTCGTGATGACACAACTAATATTAAATAAATGTTGTTTTTTAAGTTTTATAAGATAATTTTTGGTCAGACTAAATATAATAAATATCTTCAAGTGTTAAAAAATGTCTATATTCCTCGAGTGAGAGGAAAGAAGCCAAGAAGCTTAATTACAGTGTACAAATAAGTAGCACGTTGCAGCTTTCTAAAATTTAATAGCATGAATAGATAGCATTGCTTTAAGGCGTTTATATACTCGAAAGACTTTCAAACGGTTTAAATTGCGAAATATACGTGGTTCTAGTTGCTGAACAGCATCTACAATGTCAGGTCATAGCTAATCATCTGACCTAAAGAGAAATTGTTAAAAGATGTTTTATTATTCAATAAATCCTACTTACTATATACTTTCGAGTACATACTCGCCTCTAAGTGCGTGTATTTTAAAGAATATAATTTTAATTATATCAATATGTATTACTTGACTGTGAAATGTCCAGTTTCACGGCGTCAAGCGAAATTGATTTATATTTTTAATCACAAATACTTTTCTAGAAAAAAGTATTTTGTTGTGATCGTATCAATAGTTCCTTTTAATGTTTTCAAAATATATAATTTAATACTTAACCTTTGCTTACACAATATGACTACAGGATCCAGACCTTTTTTTACTCAATTTTTATATACTTAAAAGAAACTACACCATTTCCCAATATTTGTCCAGCAGCTGTTAAAGAGTCTGGGTCCAAAATACCCGGGTGTGGTAAGCAAAGATTACGCTATCAATGTAGGTTGCCAAAGTGTATGTGATGATTATACAAATACAAATGTTTTATATATGATTTTTAGCATTGTCTGTGCAGAGTACATATTTAAATAAACACTCGACGGTTTAAAACGCGAAATATATTATGTAACCTATTTTTAAAATAAATAACGACTAGATGTGGCGCTAGGAGTTTTGATTTTTACATTAGAGACGCCCTCTTAAAAATAATATGCTTAATATATGTCGCGTTTTAAACAGTTTCAAATGTTTTATTTAAAGATATGAATTTATTATATAAATGTGAGGCTGAGTATGCCAAAAATGTGCCTTGAATATTTTATTCTTACAAAGCAATTGTTAGTTTTGTAGAAGGTAAATATATAAATTGTAAAGTTTTATGATATTTTATTTCGCGCGGGGATGACTTGTTATAACTTCTTGTGAATAGGTGAGTGACACAAGTTTGGTTTATTTCAGAGTGGCACAGGTAGGAAAGGTTGCCATGTCGAAGACTCTATTAAATATTGACTTGCCAGTTGTGTCACGCCTTCCCAACTTGTGTCACTTTCGTCCTACACAGATTCAAGTTGGCAACACCATTGTAATTTATTTGAATAATTTTCAAATTAACAGTTTTGCATGTTTTGTGTGTTCTCAATTACAATCCGTGCAGGAATCGTTGTCAGATTTCAATTGTTTCGCTTTTGAGTAGTGATAAACACTAATATTATGTTTTAACAGGCGACAACAAACCGATTTGGCAAGTGGCCGAGGAACGCGAAGAGAACAAGCACCTGCAGAAGGAGAACGCCCCTTACGGAGAGTATGGTGGATGGCATAAAGCAGCTAAGGTGAATAAATATTAATACACAAGGGTCAGAGAGATGCGTGTATTAATAGGTTGAACAATTTGATGGCGTGTAGGACACGATAGCTCAATTGGTACATTGATCTTAAATATATTAAATAATACTTCTTCAGGTCGACTCCCCGACAGTGACGACCACGCTTAAGAACTTGGGCGCACTTTACCGACGCCAAGGCAAATACGAGGCGGCCGAAACCCTCGAGGACTGCGCCCTTCGCAGCCGAAAGGAGGTATTTTGATTTGCTCATTATTTTTTATCTGAACACGGTAACGCTGGAAACTAACACCTGTGTGAAATTAAAACAATCGCTTTTAAAAAGTATTCTAGTAAAGTTATATAAACAACGCGGTACGATCCGGTTGTTTTGCCGGTCGAGTCCTGTTAATATCAAATCTTCCTCAATACTAAATACCTAAATGCCATCCCGACTAAAATGCATAGAATCAAGACGAAACAACTTACTTGTATATGCACTTACCTTAACTAGTTAAAAACTAAATACATACTCCAAATTTATATTCACTAGCTCTGAAACCAAAGGCGTAGAACGAATAAGAAGAACTGTCGAGAAACTCGCCGCCATTCTTTTTATCGCCAAGTTTTGATTTACTTTTTCGATTTTCTAATAAATTACTATGCCTACCCTATAATAACTTAATTTTATCGCATATTGATAATTCAGACACACAGTTAGTTAGTTTCTAGTGTTATTACTAATGAGAAATGATAAAGTTGTAGAGTAAATCTTTTAATATAAATAGTTTTTCTTAAGCATGGTTTCTCTTATGTATGTAATCTAATTTCAGTAGATTTCTTAATGTTCCTTGCACTTTCTTATAAATAGTTCTACGATCTTAAAATCCCATATGAATCTAAGGTACACTTTCTGTATTAAATTTTCTCAAAGTGTTAAATCAGAAATTGTTTAATTATTATTAACCCCAAACTAACGAAACGTGTACCTCGGAGGTCGTACCCTAACTCTAATAGAAGTACTGTGCGTTAGGCATTGGACATGATAAAGCAGACGAAGGGCCGCAGCGCGCGCGCACGAGACTCGCTCGATCAACAAGAGGAAGAGATCACGGTCGGTTGATTTCTCACTAATTGGTTGCTTCGCGGCGTGTTGCTGTTCTATATTACTCATTTAAAATTGGAACAATTTATTTTTAATAGTAAATTGAGACAGAAATAGGTCGACATCTTGCTCAGATGGGAAATGGCTGAGGTACCTTCCATCAAGTGCTTTTAATATTCAGCTTCACTGAATCTATAAATAGGCACAACGTCATTTTTTACTTGTTTGTTGGAGAATATTTTTTGTTGCAAAAACAAACAAACAAACATAAATACAAACAAAGTCTAATGATAGTTATATTTGTTAAGAGTAATTGTAATCGATCAATCCCTACTACTGAATAGCAGAAGTACATAATTAGTCCTACATTAAAAGAACAGCAACTTGCCGTTCAAAATTAATCGTTTGCAAATCACTCTTATTTTAACATTGGAATTTGAGCTTAAAAACTTGTAACCATTTGATCTTTCTCGTTGTTTGTTGAATTTTCACGCTTCTGTCATGTCCCATTGTGGTGGTTTTCACTTGTTTTATATATGTTGTGTATATATTTGTCATATATTTTCAGATGTTGCCGAAATTTGTATATATTTTATCGATTTTAAGTATCTCCTGAAAAAAAATTACTATGAAATATTACACACCTTCAAAAGACGATCGATGTTACTAAAGCATCGATTCAATTATAATCGATAGATTAGTGTCGATTCGAAAATTTTTTTTATATTTCGATTGTCATTTACAATTGTGTTGCCAGCTACCACCCACGCTTATTTTGATTTGCACATTTATTTTGTCGTTTTTGTCCGTAGGGCACGAACCAAACGAGCGAGCCACGCATGAACCTAAAATCGAAACTTTTCAATGCGCTAGGTATCAACACGGGGAATGCGCCACACCAGTAGCCCACACTTAGACCTAGACCTAGATTAAGTCCTAGATGCCTATTTTAAGTGCTCACTCGCTTATTGTGTGGACTCTCTTTGAAAATGTCATTTTTATAGTACGAACGTTTTATCGTCAAAAATGTGACTTGACATTTCACTCCATTAAAGAGAGTTCACGCTTTATATTCATTTATGCCCGCCTTTTTTATTTTTGTAGTTTTTATAATCTTCAGCATGGTAACCCTAGTGCTATAAAACGCAAAAGGACGGGCGCACGTAGTAGGTTTTATTTATTAGCATGGTTAGGATAAAAAACGAGAACAAAAATATTATATTTCACTTAATGATGAATCATGTACCGTCCGACGGAGAATATATATTTATTAAATGTTTTAGCGTCATGACATTTTATCATGTTGAAAGTGCACCTCGAGAGTAGATGTCGCTTCGAACGAATTTGCATTTATTTGTGGTTTAACGAGTGCCATAGCCAAGAGAAACGAGTCGAGTTGGCTATGGCCCCAAGGTTTTATAATCTGTGTGAGGAGACAACGATTTTATTTTATTTGCTTGAAAATTATTTTGCTGATATTTTATGGTTGAATGTTTTAAGTGCATGTGAATTTTTGTACTACAAGCGAGCGGAATTAAGGATTATTCAATTGGTGGCCGATTTTTTTGAGAGAATTTTATTTAAATCGTAAAATTTGTTTTGACTATTTTTGGATCTTTTATTGCATTGTCAATTATTGTCAAATTTAAAACGATGTTTTTCAGTAGGAATAGTTCAATCATCAATGACGTTACAGGAATTCTACTTAGCTTAACCGTGGATATCCCCTGTATATAGAAGTAGGTATCAAAATTAATATTGCAGAAAAAATAAAACTTTCCATAAAATAGCATCTGCTGGTTACAATTTTAAAAATGTTTTATGTCAAATGCCGCCATCTTGATAAATAATTTCGCCCGCTTTATTTTTTATCTGTGCAACCGAGATTTTTATCTGTTTTAACGTCACTTATTTATATATAAACTTTTCATTCCAGTCTAGTTTATATGTTTTGAAGTAAGCTTTACAATTTAGGAGTTTTTAACATTATTATAATATTGTATTTTTATATAATTGATATTTTACGGCAATGCTTGGTAACGCGAAGCAAATATATTATGGATACAAAAATAATTTGAAATAACCGATTATCATCATGAATCTCTGTTATTCAGTGCCCCATGTCACAATAATACTATTGCGCGTCGAATGATAATTAATTTTTAAATGTTAATAAATATTTATATAACACTCTTTCGTTTTATTATTCACTTTAATGATGACACAATTCGAATTAAATCCTTGTCTAAACGATATTATTCGTGGACGGTGGTGAGTTCGACTCTCACCGGGTCCAGCATCATTCTAAAATCTATTTATCATTTTTCTGTGATGAGCTTTCTGGAAAATCTCGCATTTCTGCCCGGGTCAATTACGTTTAGGCTTTAGTCTGGATTTCTGAATGCTTGTCAAAAAAAAATGTACTTTAATTTTTTTGTTACTATTTTACTGTTCTGGTAAATTTAAAGCCATACCCATCTCTTTCCTTTGTTTGTGTTGTGACTGCTGTCTTTCTAATACCTACAGAAAGATACTAATGTTTCTTATTTAACAATTCCCTTAGCATGAGGCTCGGAAGGTCCCAGTGCGAGCACAGTAACCCTTCGTGAAGACCAACGGTGCTGATCATTACTCAACCATCAAGATGGAACAGTCGTCAGCTATGATCTAAAAAATGTATTGGCGTAATGCGAAAATTTTAAAATACTACTTGAGTCGAGGACTGCTTAAACGAAAAATGATAGTACTAATATATTTAATTTTAAATATATATAAATGTTGAAATGAAAGATAAATCCAGCGATTTTGTTTAGATATTAAACGGCTGGGGCTCAGTGGCGGCGTTAGGTGCCGGCGACTGAAAAAGATTTATTTTCATACAGTTTCACGAGTAAAGACAAGAGAAGAAAACAAGAAAGGAAAAAGGGGGGCAAACCTAATTTCGGCCACGCCCACGTGTCTAACGCCGCCACTTCTGGGCCTCACATTTCACCATGGATCACAGACTAGTTCAACATTTTCGTTCTTCCTTTTTCGTAATAAATGCGTTTCGTAAAGCGAAAAGTTATTGATTATTAAAAATAAGGTTTGAGGTCGCATTTGGCCCGTTAAGCCCAGGATCCTTTTCCGTTTGTTTCTTGAGATTTTTATTATTTACATAAAAAATACTATCAATTTTCGTCGACTTGGAAAATGGCGTGAAAAATTGTGAGTCTAGATCTGTAAGGAGGTTAAAACTTCTCAAAATGCGTTGAAAACAACTTTAATAAGCTTTGCTTTTGATGTCATTGAGAAATCAATATCGTAAAAATGAACAACTATAATAAAAAAATAGCTTATAAATAAAATTAAGTTGACAAGTGAATGTTTTTATATATAACCATACATTCCTAACAACGAATCTAGCAAAAGCTTTTTTGATCGTATGAATAATATATTAGTAAAAAAACTAATAATATTTATCGTCGCTAAATAAAAAAAAACATTAAACAAGATACACTAGGTTTGATAATTGTGGGTTAGATTAAAAATAATTCGTTTGTAATTGAAACACGTTTCAAAAAGACTAAATCAAGCTTCCGCACATTAATATTGTAAGTGTAGAGTAGCTTATTCAAGTGTAAATGGCAATACTTAGTTAGGGACATATGAGGCTGCTAGAGACAGAGTGACCTAAATACAAAAAAACATGATTTTCAAGGAGGAAAATAAAAATGCGGAATTGACTTAGGCGAAAATGAATTTCTACTATTATTTGTGTAAAAATTATAGTAACAATTTTCGGTCACTGTGCGCGTGTAGATTAAGATTTTTAGATTATAAAAATAATTCAAATTATAAAATTGCAGTTAGGCTATTCTGCCTCTAGCGACCTCATATTATCTCTATATTATAAGACATGGATTTTAAAATTCGATGGATGGAGACATGGATTTAAAGTTAACCGGGTCCGGAATGTATCTATTTGATGAATTCCCGTTTCTGTGTCAATCCGAAAGTCTAAAGCCAAAACAGGTCGACTGCACATCATAGTTGTTTTTGAACGTTTAACAATTTACAACGTGACGACTTAAGTATAGAAGCCTTATTAATAGTGATTAGTATTATCTACAATTAAGTATTGCCATTTTATAATAAGCACACAAATTAGGTAGGTTATATTTTAATTTTACATAGATTTATGATATTGCTTTTCGATTTTAGCTTTAAGCAAATTATGTGCTTGTGTTTATTGAATACGTCACTCATTATTTTAACCAATTGATCTCAAATGCATTATTTTACTTAGTTGAAATATATTCTTTAAAAATGCACTGTGTTTCCTTTTCACTTCATATCCCTACAATCGAGTCAATGGTTAAACGCCTAGCATAGCATTAAGGGTGAAATGTCCTAGATTTGAATCCCGAGAGAATATTAAAAGTTCGAGTACTTAATTTAGCTTTAGACAGGAACACGCAACCTATTGGCTCTTAATAAAATGGACGTAAATATTTATGATATAGATTCATTTTTTTTTCTTAACAATAATCTTAAGCTTAGTACACATCCAATTAAATAATTCACCAACCAACTCTTAGAATCGAACCCCACCCGTTGTTTCTTTTTTTTTAAATAGATATTTACTTTTTTTAATGATAAAATATTAATTGTCGAAGTTTTCCCCATATTTTCCAAGCAACTAAACTAATATCACTATAAAAAAATAGAAGAATAATTAAGGCGAGGTGTTATGTTGTATGTTTTACAGTTTTAGTTAATCTGAAATTTTATTAATGTCTTTTTATATACATAGTCTTAGTAGTATGTATATATAATATAAGCGAATATTTGTAACTGTTGTCATTTATTTAAAAATAACTAAGTAAATTTTTTTTTTGCAAGTTATGGAAATAAAGTTTTTTTCCTGCAAAATTTGTCTCACCAAGTTTGTGAGTACGAACAATTGTTCAGTCAAGAATTCACAGTCATTAAAAATATCATCAAAAATAAGTCACGTCAAAATTATAGAGTGCCCGAAATAAATAATCTTGCCGACGACGTTTTATTGTGTTTGGTAAACTCATCAGTACCAAACGACCGAATTATTCTCAACTAGCTTATAGGTCAGGATTCGCTCAGGAAACGATATTATTTTGTGATTGTAGATATATAAGTGATTGTAATTAAAATATAAATGAGAATGCCCAACCCTTGATTGAGTCTCAGGCCAAAAATGCAAGTCGAATTGTTTATTAAAAGGAAAAAGCATTTCACAATAATTTTATTTAAAATATCTTAGTTATTATTTAAAATATTATAGTGATTAGAATAATGAAACAACTCATCTAGAATTTAAATATGTATCACAAATAAAAAAATAAGAATAAAAACAAAAAGTTTCTTTTAGAGAATTTAAACTTTTTTCTCGAAAGTTTAAATGTTGGCACACAACTTAAAAATTATTAAGTTTTGGATAGGGTCCACCATACACAAATTGGTCAGAATGGAAATGAAAGGATGGAAACTGTATACCCCTTAAAGGATCTAGGTCGACTTAACCAGTAAGCCTGTATAAAGGTAAAGAGTTTGTTTATTTGTTTGAATGCGCTAATCTCAGGAACTACTTCGAATTTAAATATCAATTTGTGTTGGGTAGGGCATTTATCGAGGCAGACTAAAAAACATTACGCTGTGACTATTAGGAGAGGTTTATTTTCATCTTTGCGTTTCCCAGGCGTACGCTGCGAAAACAGTTAAGATATAAAACAAAAAATATGTATGAAAGAATGATCAAAAAAATCATCGCCACGCTAATCTCTATCTTCTTAGACTAACTTACAATGACGACTGGACGCAGCCGACGTCGTGGGTGACAGTTTAAGTTTATAAAGATGAAGAGGATGTCTGGAAAAACAAATTTGAATGCAAACAAAATACTCTTCGCGGACGAAGTCGCTTACACAGCTAGTGTCCTGTTCATGTAATTGCAAATCCTTTGTTTTTATTAAATCCATATGTCTGTTTGTGGCCTGAAATTGACATTTGCTGCTAATAAAACAACAAGCCCCGCTAACTTATGTATTAAACGTAAGAAATTCTACGTTCGAATCCCGGGAAAATTTTATGACTAGATTCCTTTTTTATGAGTTTGTAGCCCGTGCGTATAAATTTACGATAAAAATGACACAAAAAACAGTATATTGTTCGTCGACGCGCCCGAGTTGCAGCTGCCAAAACAAGGGGAATACTTTATCGGCGATCTTATTGATGATGCTGATGAAACAAATGTATGAGGTGAACAACACTTTACAACTTTTCACTATCGAATTACAGTTTCAACTACTGGTAAAGTTTTTTAATTCCGCGGCCATTGGGCCAATTTTTCCACAGACATATTTAGGTCCATAAATTAAGTACAATATTTACGACATATTGGGACACCACCATGGCTTCATATCCCACGTTACCACAGCATCGAAATCAGGTCGTCGTCAAAAATATATTTTTTTAAAGTTTAAATAAGGCTATTTTCTAACAATACAGTAACACACCACACACAATTTTTTCGATATTAGCTTCAAGTTATTTAGTTATTATATTTTAGTTATTTACTTTTCAGTTCTAAAAGTCTGAAAGCCCGTTTCCCCCTCATGGGGCATGGGGCGATCACATTTATGTGTCCGTTTTACTTATCCGTTCTTTTAACGGACAAGTAGTTGATCAGACTTCACTGCCTTCCGACGAAACATCTCTGGGATTCGAACCTAGGACCTCTCGCGCTTAATGCAATGCTAGGCAATACGTTTATACCATTAGACTACAGAGGCGGTCTTCTCACTTTTCAGAACTATTTAACATATATTTCACTGCGGTAAAACCTGGTTAAATGAGACCTGGAAATATGAGAACCTCGATTATTGAGAGTTGCAATGAAGTTCCGGTTCTTTTTTTATTACATTACCTCTGTTAATGGTACTTTTTGAACCTGGTTAGATGTGATTTGGATTCTAAGGAGATTTCAACGTTTACCTCTTTACTTAAGGAACCGCAGCTCGATTAGCTGCATAAGTGAGACAAATAATTGAGGTTTTAACACGTTATGACATGTTTCTTTATAATCAAACGCGGCGGCCTTTGTAAATGAAACTATAATTTCAAAATTGCTTAATTGGAAAACTGGATTATTGGAAACACTGTATATTTGGTATACCTATTTGTTGGTCTCTTGATATCCGTATTAACCAGATTTCACTGTTCTAATATATTTTGCGTTTTATACCTTAAAAAGTGGTTCATTTAAATAATATATAAACTACATACAACGTTTAACACAGCTTAGTTAAGACAAATAGAAAGCAAAATCTCAGAAATTCCTTTTTCACCATCACAGTGCGGAACCCTAAAAGAGAAAGTTTTTTTCAACTAACAAAGTATCTTTGGGGTCTGAATTAATACTGTCCTACCCTCACTAAGTACAGCTATTAGATAATTATAACAAGTAGAAAATACTTAACCTCGTTGCGCTCAGAACAAAGAGGCCGCCTATTTACACACATCATTTCGATATCCTTCCTTCTACCCTGTCTATTCTAATAACTGGTTTCATTTCATGCTCGTTTTACTTTGATAGCAATAATTAGTAGTCTAGACTCTAGATCTGGCTAGATTATGTATCTACTATTGCCGCTGTTTAATAACTGACATTTTAGATTTGCATTAATATTTTGGGAAAATTATTTGAAAGAGTCCGGAGGATCCGTTTTTTCAGAAATTTTTCAGAAAATATTTAATATAATTATATTAGTTGGTAAATAATGCAGGGCTTTTTCATCTGTGGTGGCTTGGGACCCAGGCGGAATTTCGACATTCGTACCACCAATATCAAATTTTCCAGAAGTCCAACATGTCTCAGAAAAATTAGAAACAGGTTAGCCCAAAATAATCATAAAACGTCAATCTCACTTCGAATTGAGTTCTTGAAATAGCCTTTATAACAAATACAAGTAAGTATGATAAGAAAGAAAACAATAAATGTTTATAAGTAAGATCCCATTATTGTGACTGCAATCTATCCGTCATCGAATTACGGGCGTGGGAATCAAAGGGCGACCCCAACCCTCTTGGGACTTCGCCACCTCTCGTACCCCTAAATGGACTTTCACACTTAAATCTTAATTAAAGCCTAATATAGTAATTTTAACAAGCATTGAAAATAATCAAGAATTATATTAAGCTAGGCGATGTGGCAAACATTATTTTGCTACATCAAGAACTTCAACGAAATTTGATTACGGTTCTTTTGAGTTAATCTTACAAGATAGACGTATACTACTGCGGATTTTCTTAGATTATTTGAAGAAAATCAATTCTTTTTTACATATTTTTGGGTATATTGAACCGTTATTGCAGATTTCCCCATTTCCCTTTGTTTCTCTGTTCCTAATGGTCACAACGTAGAGTTTTAAGCCAAAAACCTTGTGTAATTTGAACCAGTAGTTCCTGAGATTAGCGCGTTCAAACAAACTCTTCAACTTAATAATATTAGTATTGATATCATATTACAAGCAGAAACGTGATTCATTATTATAAAAGTTTAAGTCATTATTTTCTGTAGTTTACACGAGTACTAAACGTTTAAATAAATCACCAAATTGTTTGAAATGTGTAATGCATTAGTTAACTTTAACTCCACCCCGCGTTCGAGTTCAAAATAAGTTAATAAGATATTTTGCATTTTAGTTTGAATTTTAATACAAAAAAAAAATAATATTCTTTAATAGTGATTCCTAATTATTAATTTATTATTATTATAAAAAATTACATACGCGGGGCTTAAGGCAAATACAATCGTGTATCCGTTTTACTTGTCGATATAGAGAAGGTCGATATTTCTGTACCCTTCTGATCAAAACTGCCTTTCCCCTTTTTTGTACCTTGTCCATATGGACTAAACTAATACTATGCGGTAAACAAAAAAGTGACTAAGGAGTAGTTTTATACAAGTACATAATGACACCAATGTCTAATAGGCCAAATCCCGCCCAAATGGACTCCGCCTATAAATACAGTTTATATTAGTACAGTAATTCAAAAAAGTTCCTATCAACCACGTATCTACAATCGATATCGTATGTAGAAAATCAATTAAATATTCAACATATTATGTTTTTGAAACCGAATTTATTAAAATAATTATACATAAAAAGTTACCAAGAAGCTAAAGGAAAGTCTGATATTTATTGTACTTAAAACCGTTTCTTTAAGGATGTCATTATAAAATTCTTACTCATAAATCGCAAATTAGAAACATTCTTGAATAGTGGACTTTGAATCAATAAAAATTTCTAAACTGTGGTAGCGCACGCGCCGAGCTTTACTGAAAATATGTAATCGCAGTCATACACTCTTAACAGAGAAGTAAAGACGTCTTCCTTATAATGGAATACATAAGAACAAACTTTCTAATGCAAGATGAAAATTTTGACCTTCAAGATCTTAACAGTTTCGCGCAAGAAGTAAATACCGAGAGCTTTTGTCCCAGTTTCTTGCAGATGTTCTACGATAGGACTAACGAGAGATGCCCTACGGAGACCTGGGACTGGTACTCCTGGCAAAATAAGGAGCACGAAGAGTCAAACGGGACTCTAAGTTACGAAAAAGGTAAGGAAAAAGATGATATTGATGATTGAAGCTCCTCTTATAATTTATAGGAAGAGCTTTTACGCCTACTTTTTAGATTTATTCATTTCTCGATTTTATCATTTTCGATAAAGCCTATTTTATTTTATATACGGATAATTTTTATTCTTAGCGGTGCCTCTTTCAATTTTAAATTGTCCTTTAAAATGTTTAAGTTATTATCCAACCTAGGAAGCTTTTTTTGTCAGGAAAGTTAGTCTTATTAATGCTATTATAGATTGAGAGTTAGTAGAAGAGATTCTTTATATTATACTTTTCTAAAATTAACTCGGAAATCATATTTTGTTAAAACAATGTCACTGCCATTCAATAATTCATAAGATGTACTTAGTCAAAATCCGTATCTGTGGCGGCATGTGGTTTGTAAGCATGTAGTTCAGGCTTCTATGCGTCGCCCGACTGAAACCTTATTGTTTCTCAGTGATTCGAACCCCTAGACCTCTCGTGCTAATGTAATTCTAGGCAATATTAAGAATTATTAGATGTCTATGTAAAATATATAACAAACAATCGATAGAAAGACATTCTAACCCATAAAACCCACCTGCGCAGGAAAACTATAAAGTCTGGTGTAAACAGAGTAGCGCCGGCGCCTACATGTGTTTCTGTTTACTACGTTGCATAAATATTTGCAATTGTTGCACAGTCCTATGCGAATGTTTTATTTTCTTGTAACGTATATACTGTGAAAGATATTTGGGATCTAGCTCTCGTAATTCACGTGGACTTTTTGAGATAGGAGCTAAATTGCAATAAAAAAAGAATTAGGTATTTCGGTGTCTGTTCAAATTTCGAAACCCGATAAGCATGAGGTTGGTGGAAGGTGAAACACCCAAGCCACATCACACTAAAAGAAGGTGCACTATCGACTTATTTCGAAAAGCCCTAAACCCTAGTTAGAGATTCACGTAAGCTATACAAAAGCATTCTCTTACCCAGATATCCAGTCTCCAGCCAGGAAGGAGCGTACGGCTTTCAGCAAAACACAGATACACCGTCTCGAAGAGGAATTTTCGAGAGCGAATTATTTGACCAGACTGCGCCGTTACGAAATTGCGGTAGCGCTAAACCTCACTGAAAGGCAGGTGTGTAGTTGTCACTTAACATTATATTATTCTATAGATGAAGTTCCAAAATGAAGCTAAAGTCGCTATGGTGGTTGTGTTTCATAAAATGCTTTACCTCCATATCACCTTTCTAAGCTAATAAAATAACGTTGTTTGTAGAAGTATATCATTTCGTTAATATTTATTTGAACATTAAAAATACTACTTATAACATTATACATTATAGCACCATATCATTGTTTTTCGGGCTGTTCGGCTGACGTGAGCGAGAAGAGGTTCTCGACGTTTCGTCATCACGAGCGGACGGCATCACCAGGAGATATTATTAACTAATTGCTCGATAAATCAATTCTTGTCAGCCGAGCAGCCCGAAACAATGATATGCTGAACGATGGCCGTGAAAGCCTAACACAATTTAATTATAACCAGTTTTTCTCTTACACAAAGAAATGATGAATGAATGTAATTTTATATACTATATAGTGGTAAACACTCGACTTTAATTTAATCACTTTTATACATTTGTATATTTAACAAGAATTTCACTATTTGCTCCTACGTCTACTCCAATTTGTTGCCAACGTGCAACGGGAGCTAGAGTCAATAAAGCTCCTTTTAATGTCGATAAAACCACTTAAAATGTCGGTAATTGATTACCGACCATTTGCGCCACACAGTTTTACATTTGGTACAATTTCTTATTAGTTTAAGTTTACATTTTAAATTTTATTCCACATAGTACATATACATGTATGATAATTTAAATAAAAGCTGACTATAATATTAATATTTGTTGTCTCTTTAGTAGTAGGTATACTCCTGACATGAGTGTGTGTCCCGTCTAACCGAAATAATTTATGTTTGTATACTATCCTGGATTATCTGTGCCTACCGTAATATTAGACAATGCGTATAATAAATGCAGCATATAGGTCATAATACCTTTTTTTTACAGGTAAAAGTGTGGTTTCAAAATAGAAGAATGAAGTGGAAAAGAACAAAGGGAACCAAGAATACAAAGCGAAAGAACAACAGCTCTTAAGTATTTAAGTTTGTTTTGGATAATTAGAAAGGTTAAGGAGGTTATTGTTATTTGAGAATTAGTACTATAATATGTTCTTAATGTTTTAGTTATTATCCTTACATGTATAAAGATAGTTAAGAAAAACAATAAACGATGAAATAAGGATATGTTTATTAGACAAATTCATACCTCAAGCGCGGAACACAGCGCAAGACTGTAAAAACTAAATGATAATATTTTAATGTTAACTAAAACGCTATCTTTGGAAGAAACTAAACATGTGGGCGGTGGCAGCCATTTTGTTCTCGTGAGCACAGATTATAAACAATCCATCATACTTCCAAATACTAAAATACAGTTTATATAACAATTTCTTTACGTGTTAGGGCGATTGCTTCGTTTTAGGGCTTTTCGGCATAAAACAATAATTCAGCTCAACGTGTACGTACAATTATTACTACATAATATTAAAAGAAATGTAAATTATGCAGGAATACTGTTGTATCAGTTACGTGAATTTTTTGATTTCTGCATTTTAAATACTTAAACGTAATCCAAATAACAATAGTAACGCCAACAAAACAAAATAAAAATGTATTATTTATTTACACATGATAAAGGAAACATCTCAAATGTTTTATTGATCACAAATTAAAATCCAATATGAAGATTTTCTACTGTTTATGTTGTAAATTTAAAACACACAATTAACAAGTGCAGTTATAATGTAAAAAAATGCAAATTTATTGCAATAAAATATAAAGTGCTCGTTGTTAAAACATTAAAATGCCTAATCAGGGCAAAAACTCAGGAAGCAACGCCCTACCACATGCACATAACACCTAAATGTAACATTGGACAGTATACTACAATATTGAACCAAAATAAAATACTATGATATCCATAATTCAACAATATATAGCGCATTTAACTTACAATCAACCGTGAGCCCTACCCAATATGTATTTACAATTTTCAGTGTCGAACAGGCACTATTATTAATTTTATGTACTGAGATTTCAAAAACATTGGTCGGTATTTTATATAAAATATGGTTTCTCAGCAGATATTGTCAGTGGTGCACGAGACAATAATATATGGGCGAGGTCAGCGATTTGCATATACACCCTATATTATTATGGCATGCACTTAATTTGGTTGATTAGAGCTAATCTATCGATACATGTATTAGTTTCTATGAAACATTAATTATTATGATAACATGGAAAAATATGCTTCAAATGATATATTCATAGTTACATGCTACACAATGATTGTTTTGAATTCATTACACAATTCTGAATATTGTGAGTATTGTTAGACCGTGTTCCTAGTAGAGGTTTAGCCGTTTGGCACTAAACGTTTTAAGTAAACAAACATCAAAAATATTTTATACCAGTGATTTTATTCCTACTGTACATTTTTCGTTATATGACAAGAATCTTCATTAGACGTGTCAAATAATCATTATTGCCGAAATGTATATAAGCGCCATCTGAATTCCGAAATAAGAAATACAGCCAGCTCTAACATATGTACAAAATTAAAAAATACATAAGCATGCAAGGAACTAGAATGAAATTAATTCACTAACAAGTAGTAATTATCATTCCAAATGTCTTTTAGGGCACAATGTAATATAATAATTTCAAAACAATCCCTGATTAATTGTCTATATCGCAAATGATATGAAGCTGGTGATTATGAAATAAATTATAAATGCATTGTTGATCCTGACTAGAGAATTTTGAACGGTGAAATTTTAAAATTTAATCTTTTTATAATCAATTAAAGTACTAATCGCAATAGGGAACGTGTACATTCATGACAATGAAGGTACATGTTAAAATATAAGGTACAGCAGTGTACATCTTGACATAACATACTTTCAGAGAGGAAAGAAAGTTAAATTATACTATAAAAACGTACGAGAAGATTCTCAGTTGAAACATATGTTATAATATACATGCATGTAAAATACAGTGATGACAGCATCAAAACACATTAGGTCCAAGTTAAAATTTCTAGCAAATACCCCCTCCTATTGACATGGATTTAAAATTATCATTTATTTTCATCATGAAAATCAAAATATATAAACATAAAACGAACCACTAATAACAATGATACATCCTTCGAATCTCTCTAAATGTTTAATGGAATAAATAATGGGTGGCTTCATACCATTTGCTCTTCCGTATTCACAGCTCAATATTAATCTAATATTTACAAATAAGGCTTCTCTGGTTCTCACTATGCGTTCAATAGTCACACGCGAACAAAACCACTATCCACAGATGTATAACGGACAACTAGATGCGCTATTGCTCTAAATGTTATGAAGCTTTTTCCTTACATTTGTTTTAAAAATGCAATTGGACCTTTAGAATGGTTAAAAGGTAGAATTATTTTTATTTTGTCATAGATGACAATATTCAAACTGCATTTTATGGATGGAGTTCATACACTACATTTGTAGGTACTCAAAAGCTTTCTCAATCTTCAAAACCTTTCCTGAGCTTCCGCATTCTAGTTATTCAACATCTATACTGCTATCACTGTCACAAACACTAAGTTCACTTTTTCACTATCCAGAGGGGTTTTGCCGCGGCGTCCGGTTGTTATACAACCAAAAAGTACAGGTTTCGCTATGGTCTCGTGTCACTCTGGGAGTGGGCCGTCGTCACCACGGGGACGATTTGGGGGATACCGTTTGGGATGACCGTCAGCGATTTGGGGATTTTAGGCAACTGCGCAGAGGCGGTGGGGCTGTCGCACGACACCGCTGTCAGCAGCTGTGGCTTCACCGTGTTCGTTACTATTTGCGACGAGACGAGGGACAGGGGTTGCGACGTCACCAACGAGAGCGTCTGTGACGTCACCGTAGAAGTCTTCGGCGGTATCGGCGCGATGGTTATGTTCTTGAGACCGACGTTCTTCAATATCGTCGCGGCGTTTGATCCTATCTGCAATTCGGTTAGTTTATCCTCTTTGTCTGTACTGAGGTTTTGCACAACTGTTCCTCCGTTCCCGAGCAAAGCGGACGTTTGCACTTCAGTGACTACTGTTGTTTCTTCATTGGGTTTTTTGGCTTTAGATTCCTTTTCTTGAAGACGTTGCTGCCTCTCTTTTCGGATGAGGCACATTTTGTTGTAGTCCTCGAAGGTAATATGGTATCTATTCCCGGCTGATACGACTTGTACGAGGCTGGGAAGGCTGTGGCCGTCGACAGCAGTTTTGAGTGGCTCCCGCGCGATTTTTGCAAGGTTCTCCTGCAACGGAGAATACAAATACAATTTTTAATATAAAATAACATAGAACCAACAACAATAAAAAGAAAGTAAAGCAACAACAGTTCAAACTGCTGTAACAGATTATATTTTATAACAATTAAAACAGGCTGTTTAAAATAAAGTGCAAATATTATAAGTAAAATAGAGACTTACTGGTGTTATAGGCATCAGAGTTGGTCTCCAACCTTTGCTATTCGCCTTCTGCTTCTTCGGTGTATCTCTCTTCTCTTTGCCTTCTTTTACCGTTTCTTTCTTTTCCTTAGTCTCCTTTGGCAGATCTTTCTTTTCTTTGGGTGCTTCAAATTTAGGTGGAGGCAATGGGGCAGCCGCTACCTCAGTGGGGTCAGATGCAGACACACCCTTAACCAGCTGTTGAATATTATGTAATACATTCTGTATGGCTTTTCTTCCTTGAGCACTGGGTGTGTTAATTGCTATTAATTCAGGGGGTAATTGCTTTGTCTTCTTCGCTTTCGGGGTGGGTTTCGTGAATTCTGGTGGTGGCATGAACTTCTTCTCAGAGTTCTGACTGGACTTGAGAAGACTCTTTCCGTTCACAGCCGGTTTTTTTCGGAATTCAATGAGACTTGAGGTCTTTTGGGTTTCCATAGGTGGCGGTACATTGTCGTATGCCTTTAGTCTATTTTGTACCGAATTGCTGTAGTTTGCCGCATGTGGTGACGGGTTATGCGATAATATCAAATCTCCACTTCTGAAATACTTCTCTAGTAAAATTAAATGCCGTAGAAAGCTAGATTGGTTTCCGTACGGCCTTTGCAATTCGTTCCATAGCTTCTTTGTCTCCAGGTCATACTGTATGACAGAGTTACATTTTTCCCAGCCTTCTGGGGTCACCCCTTTTACGTTATTGAACTCGATATTACACTGTAAGTTCATCTCTTCTTCACCGGGGAACAACTCTCGGACTGATATAGATGGATTAGTCTCTAACCTTTTAACGGGATTTGAGTATTTCGATTCGGATAGCTTCTTGCCATCTTTGTGCGGGTCGACCTTTTTCGAGAGTTCGCTTAAGTTCTTCTTAACTTGACTAAAGCTCTCTGACAGCTGCCATTTGTTTTTTAGGGTGTTGATATCTGCTGGTCGCTTATTTGGTATAGACTCTATTGTGCATTCATCGTTGAGGGATATGTTCTTTATTATGGGCATTTCTTTATTTTTATCTGGATCAAAGATTTCCAATTCTCCCTCCTTTTTAGGCTTATCTCTGTGTGCAACTATTTGCCCAAGCTTGTGTAACCGTTTTGCATTCTTCTCTGTTATTCTGTTCTGTTGTCCTACTTTCTGTATTCCTACACTTTGTACCTTTAGAATATTCCTATTCTTCTGTGTTAGGTTGAGTTTTTGGAATTGCGCTGGGTTGTTTTGCTTCTGTAGGAGATATCTTAATTCTGTTTGTTTGTCTACTGCGATAATTGGGGATTCATCTATGTGTTCGGTTTCTGAGCAATCACTTTGTGGTTCCTGTGGTTTTGCACCGGGAACTGGTATTTTGTTGGAAGAAATGAGACTCTCTATATCTTCTTCTAGCGACTGAGTATTCTTTGGTGGTTCTTCTTCTTTTATCTTCTCCTTCTCCGGCGAACTCTCCGTTGTTCTCTCTGAGGATTCGCTAGTTTCCGGTTCAGTGGACTTGCGTTGTTTGATTTTGATCTTTGTCTTCTTCTTCTGTCGGTTTGCGACGTTGTTACAGTCTTCTAGCGCGGATGTGTCTGCCGTCTCCTGTTGTAGCTCTGGCGGTATTTCTATGTTGTAGATTTCTAGTAATCTGAAAATTTTGTAACAAAAGCGTTAAAAAAATATACTATAAGTAGTTCTATTTTATTATGATCTTTTATAAGCAATTAAATTTTAATTGAATATAATAGCGTTTAGCCGACTGAATGTAAAAGACAAGCTTTAATGTAGTTAACAATTAGTATGAGCATGTAACATACTTTCTCCTATAAGCTCTTGCGTGGTTGTCGTTGTGCCCTGGCCGTTGGAGCAAAGTACAGTAGTAACGGCACACTTTGCAAAGCACAGGTCGCTCTGTGAACTGAACTGGTACTCCAGCCTCTTTCAGTAAGGGATTCAGATCTGTGTAACCCTGGAAATAAAACAGTAAGGGCATATTAGAAAACTTATTGTCACACAAAACTTTTCATAAAAGTAAAGGAATCGTAATTGGCTAAACCTGGTTGTCGAATTTCCGTAAAGGCTACGAGAGAAATAAACACATATGTGTCGACTCTAAACATCGAGAATGGAAAAGAATTTTGATAAAAAATTCAACAAAAATTAATTCTTTTGGATCAACAGAAAGCACAATATATTCGTTGTGTGACAAAGATATTCTAGTTTCATAATAATTAGTATTATGTGTGTTTTTTCCTTTCGTGATGGTCAGAAAGTTGTAGTGTTAGAACGGGACAGATACATACATGATGTATGAAATGAAGGTTGTGGTGTTTCGTGAGGCGCCGACGACACAATACGCAGGCCATCAATGGGCTCAGGATACGATAGTGTTCTCCGCACAGTGGGATCGTGTGCAAACCAGGGTAATCGCCGTCCAGTTTCAGCTGAAAGACATGAGCATTTTCACTATAAAATAAAGTTGGGTCTACTTTATAAATAATTTTGAAATTTTCTGTAACCCTTATTTCATCACTACATATAAAGCAAAGTCGCTCTCTCTGTCCCTATGTGCGCCATAATCTTTAAAATTACGCAACAGATATTGATGCGATTTTTTCAAATAGATAAAGCGATTCAAGAGGAAGGTTTTTTAAGCAACGTTCACAGTAATTTTGTAGTGTATTAATATCAGCACTGCACTCGAGCGAAACGCGGCGCGGCTCGCTAGTAAATTATACATTGAAACAAACAAAAACGTTTATACTGTGTGTCACCAGTGTGATCACGACTGCTACAAAGCATCCGAATCGTCGGGCCGTAGTGAAAGTAATTTTTAAATAACTTTAACTAATAATAATATATTTCGCGTTTTAAACTGTTTAAGTGTTTTATATTAAAATTTTCATCACAAATTTTGCTTTATTAGAATTAAGTTTCATTAAAAAAAATTACCAAATATCATTTGAATCTAAGTTAAATATGAATAGGTCTAAAACCCGCAAATAATATATAGTCTTTGTCAAAACTGTTAATCAAACGACATTTTAAAATATACCAAAAATGCTTCACATATAATTAGGATACTTTCTTACATATATGCCTATGTATACCCGGTTCGGTAATTGTGGCCAAGCTTTTTGACTTAACTATTTCTTCACAAGCTTTGACTTTCATGCATAACAAACAGTGGAAACTCTTACCAACTTGTTGACACTGGTCCTCATCTTAATGAGCCACTTCCTCCGTATCGAGTGGTCAGCGGGCGTGGCACATCCACTGGTGTGACAAGTTGCCAACCTTCCAGGGGCCTCTGAGGGTTCTTCTTCGCTCTCCTCATCAAGCGGTGGGCTAACTGGCTTCTCTGAAATACTGCATAAAACAGTTTTCTCTTAACAAACGACACAAGCAGCTTCATAGTATGGAAAAGAAACTAGTAGTCCTAAGTCTCTTAAACGGCAATAATTAATAGATCAATTAGATTATCAGATTTATGGTGGTGGGTGAAATTTCATAAGAACAATGGATGGTATTGATTGATATAAGAGTGTGCTATGGTTAGTGAATTGGTATTTTTATTTTATGTATTGATACTAAAATTTCTCAATAGATATTTATTTAAGGTGAGGCACCCCAGCCACATAACATGTAATCAAAATGCAGTTGAATTATTGACTGCGCAAGCGTTGGATATACCGATTAATTTCCGTTTTATATACTATAATACTAAAATTTGGGTAATACACTTATTATGTTTTTAATAAAAAAGGCCACTTCTGTAAGTCGAAAAATATTTATGCAATGCTTGATTTGATATATGACAAGTTCCTTAAAAATCTTGTTTTAAAACGTTATAAAAGCACGTAAATAAATCCTGTATCATGCTCATGTACTTACGCGTTGTCTGGCGGTGACGTTGGGTTGATAGTGGGTGGCTCCATGGGTTTGGCGAAGGGTCGTTTCCTGTAGGAGGGGCAGTTTGCGCGTCTGTCCACGTGGCGGTAGCAGGCGTCACACAAACAGCTGTCTATTGTTAGTTTCTCTTCGTCTGAAAGACAAACTTTTTTTATGATGGAGGAGTTCAAGGCGGGTTCACTTGATGGTAGATGATAAACCCCAGCCTATATATATAGCATCTAAACAAGATGCGCGGTCGACCGATTTTTGGCTTTGAATATTTGGAAATCCACAGACTGAAACCGAAACGTTTTCAGCTGTGGACTGTGGTATGTGACGGACGGACGGACAGAATTACTATATTCTTACCATACATTTAATATCCAGGAGAGCAGACGAAGTCCTGCTGGACTTCAGTCTTTGTCTTGTTCACTTTGTTTCAGAAAAATTATAAAGACGTTGGACCTGGTGGAGATCGAACCCACGACCATGAGCCATACGTTGCTACCATTAGACTAACGAGCCTTGCTTTAATTCACGATACTAAAATAAGGCTTATCGCTATCAAGGAACTAAATACGGACAGACAGACAAATATTCTCTTGCAATGTTTGATTGAAACTCAAAAAAAAAATCTCAGGTGTTATTGAATGTTAAAAATTAGTACAGAATGTGAAAATAAAAGATAAATGATGTCTGTAGTTTACGCAAGTAGTACACATTTAGATAAAACACCTTTAATGCGGCAGTAGTTAAATTAATTTAATATTTTTACATGCACATGATGGCATTATTTAAACTAAAAATCGATTTTTAATTTAACTTAACAAATAAATTACGCGTTACAATCCGTTAAGTGTTTATTTAAAATATTAAAGTCTATAGTACTCACTGTCCAACACTTTTTTCTGTCGTTCGCTGCTTTTCATCTGCGCAATGTGACACGGCGTGTCGAAGAGGCCGAACTTCCCCCCACAGTAGAAGCACTGGTCCATGCAGAGTCTACCCGGGTGGATGCTGAACGAAGACGCCTTCTCCGGTATTACTAAGTTTACAGTCTCTTTAGATTCAGGTTCTGGTGCAGTTTCTGCATCTGTTTTGAAATTAATCCATTTAAAATGATCTCAAACAAACGTACTTCACGATACTTTCGAATAACAAAAAAATTAATAATATTGATATTCATGTAATGTATATTAAATTATTTGGAATGAAAAAAAAAACAGCCGAAATGAAACAACAGCCAGTAAAAGTGAATTATTTCCAAAAAATATTTTAGTAACTAATTATTAAATCAAATACAAGGAAACTGCTATATTTTTTATTTTATTTATCATTATTATTTTTTATGTATAAAGTCTTAAAATCAAGTTAATTCATTAAATTTTAAATACATGTGTGTGAACTATGCAATAGTTAATTATGAAAATAGTAAATATTCTTCCACCACCATGTCGTGCAAAGTTTTTCCTGATTTTTATTACTTAAGTGACAATTAACTTATTTTATGGAAAATTAATTTAAAATACCAAGACACATTTTAAATGATGCCCTTTATATGTTTGTTTTAATTAGAAGTTAGGAAATGTTACATTATTTGTTCAAATACCAAAGCAATTAGGTAGGGATAAAACCTAAATGTTATTTTTGGATTGTTATATTAATAAGAAGAGGCTATGAGCTAAATAATTTTAGACAACATTGAACTTTGTTTTACTTATTAGTATATAAAGAAAAAGTGTGTTTTGCTGATTAATTTAAAAAAGATTCGGGGCTTTACAAAAAAACATGAATACTTATTTTATAAAAAACATTTCATTCGAATATTTGAAATGGTTAAAAATTATAATGTAATAAAAATAAATTGTTTCTCAAGTTAAAAAACTTAAGCCGATTATACAACCTAAAGGTTGACCAAGTATAAATCATAAGTGAAGATAATTTTAAGGAATTATTTGACTCATAGCGGATAAGAGTTAATATCCACAAACCGTGGTTGTTACTTCTATTACTGTATGACTTTCTGTGCCCACCATCGATCGGTGCGCCGGCGACTCCCTGTAAACAATTATTGCACTATTTTAAAAACATATATGATATTAAAATATCCCTAGATTTTTGAATAGATGTGGTTATTTAACCACAATAACAACGTTATACAATATAATCACATTTAAGTATAACACTATTTAAGTTATCCTAAACCAGAGTATTTTTTGTAATATTGCGTTAATATTGACATAAATTGGGGAAACTAGGATCTAAAAAAAAAAAAAAAAAAAAATTTTTTTGTGTTTTCTTATAGGTATACAGAAATTTACACACTATGCTCAAATACTTTTTACACTTATCTCAACAAGTAATGTGTATCGTGTACATCTATAAATGTTTATATTGTTGCATAAGTTTATCTTCCATGATGAATACAGAAAATTCTATATGAATTATTTACTTTAAGTTGTTGTTTCATTGATACAATTTTTACAGACATAAGCACAGTATTTTTTCCTTATTTCTAGAATCAATGTATATTACTCTACCCTTAGACTCATCCCTAGAACCAGTACTTATGTAATTGAGTTCTCGACAAAACTACAGTTGTGACCAATGAGAGTGTTTACTTTATTATGTTATAATATGTATGTATCCTTCTGTACTGTAGATATCAATGTGTAGCTGTTACACGCTAAAACAGTTAGTCCCATCTTCGGTGACGAGTGTAGTCGTGTGAAAGAGACTTTTAATATTAATATGTATGTATGATATAATAAGGCAATTCTTACCTCTCTCCTCTCAATTGTATAGTACGCGTCATCTTCACTGCCAGCCTCTCCTACCTCCATCGGTGGTTTGCCCCTATTCTTGCTCTTCTGAAAGGTCATCTTCAGCGAGCTCCTGTGCTTCTTTTTATCAGACCGGTTCAACTTTATCACAGTCTTTAATGTCCCTGTATAATCTGATTTCGACGCCTTCCCTTTACCCATGATGTTATAGTTCGCGCCATAAATCATTTCTTTCTCCTTTAATTTCTTAGCTTTAGCCTCATTGGCCGCTTTATGAGTTAGCAGTCCCAACGTCCGCAGTACATTCTCTTTTCGCTTTTGACTCTCTGGCGTTTCGTGAAGTAGATTGCTTGGTCCAGCTAGAATTTCAGTTGAATTACGCGCAGATTTATTTCTAGTTACGGGTTTAGTCACTTTAATATCGTCTATCTTAGGTTCTGTTACAGGTGTGCTAACTTCCGAGGCTTTCTTTTCTTCTTGTTTATCTTCTACTACTTCAGCTGCTGGCTTTTCTTCTTTCACCGGCTCCTTTTCTACTTTATCCGCTTCTAGTTTTAAAGCAACTTCAGGAACTTTCGTCACCGCCGCGGATTCTTCTGTTTCTACTTTCACAGTTTCTGACGTGCTTATCTCTTCGGGAATCGGTTTTACATCTTCTAAAGGCGGCGCTAAAGCTTCTGCCTCTATAGGCGTGGATTCTGGTGATTTAACTGCCACCGGCGTAGGAGTTATCGACACTTCAAAGTTTTTGATCTGTTGCGGAGATTTCTGCTGTTGTGATTTGATTTTCTCTATAGTCGCCATTTTATCATCTAACTCAGCGCCGGAACCGGACGACTTTCGCGATAAAGAGTCTTTAGAGTTCCTTTTGGTTATTTTTACATCTCCACAGGGTAATTTGGCTTCAATACAGCAAGGTGTGATGGAGATTTGGCTTGAATCGAGAATGACCCCTCCTATAGTCTGCGTTGGATTATTCGGCTGCAAAGTGGCGAATTGATGCAGGTCGACTGGAGGCGCGGGCGGGGTTTTGTCTACAGATTTTCTTATCTCTGTTAATGTGACATCTTTTCCCAGGGATTTTTCGAATATACTTATAGCATCTGATTCTTTTGAATGATTGGAGTTCGTAGACTCTTTGCGTGCCGTGACGCTGTTGCGTTTTATGAGAGTGACTGAGTTTGGAAGATCTAGATCTATGGACCGACGTACTTGATCCCTCTTGACTATGGATATTGCAGAGTTATTCTCGAAACAACTTAACACGTTCTCCTTTTCTATAATCCTCTCTGGAGATTTTTCAGGTTGCATGTCCTTTAAGGGCTTGATGTCACCCGATTTCGGGATTAGGACCACGTCATTAGTCACCATGACTGATTTGTCATTAGACTTCGATTCGGATAGCTGTCGCTTTCGCCTCTTGTCGAATTCTTCAAATTCTTTGAGCCTATCCATCAATTTGTCTATGCTAGCTACTGTGGTGCGTTTGTAAGTGATTTCTGGTTTATCTGAAGCTTTCTCCGAAGAGTCTTCGAAATGCCGAATATTTTCACTATCATCGCCTTTAATAGTCGTACTTTCTGTGGTTAAGCTAGGTTCCTTATCCTTAGTGGCCGTTTCTGGTGTGACAATACTGTTATTATCGCCAAGAGGCTTTGATAAGCCATAGAATTGTCTAACAGATTTTGATGCCACCTGATCTGCCGCCGCTACTGCGTTACTCTCGTTTGTTGTGCTTTCCTGATCACAGTCTATATTCTGATCTAAATTATTGATGAGATCAGTGATTTCCTTAGATAAGCTATCAACTGTGTCTACAGTTTCTGATAAATCCGTATCTAAAGAGCCACTTTTTCCGATTTGATTGGCTGTACTTCTAGGAGTCGGAGCAGTCTTCTTTCCTCTTCTGGCCTTCCTTATATTCTTTGAAACTTCCTTTGAGTTAAATGTCTTGGACATGCAATTCAATATACTACTACGGTCCTCTAAAAGCGTATCGTTTTCAGTCTCAAACATTTTGAGTTCAATATCGGCTGAATTTAAATTGTTTATCTTAACCCTATTACTATTATTGTTGTCGGAATCTAATGAAGTACTTCGTTTTAAGCTCAATCTTCTTGTTTCTTTTGCTAAGGAACTAGGCTCCGCTTCTGGTTTGAATTCCAGTTTAGACTCAGTAGGGGAAGGCACTTTTTCAATAGTCGAGATCTGTACATTACTTTCAATATCTACATCTAGGTCAGTCTTAGATTTGTCTACTTTTTTGAGCTCCTTTTCGGTTTCATTGATTGTGTCATTGAGACTTATGTCTGACTCAGTTACATCTGAACATTTTGAGATTTCACTGCCATCTCTAGAACAGGAACGGCCCCTCTTCACCTTCTTAGTCTCTTCAGATGATTCAGCATCCAGAGTCTTAGAGTCAGAGAGGAGTCGTCTTCGCTTCTTCTGTTCTTTGATTACAACTTCGTTCAGAAGATTCTTTACTTTTCTTGGTTTGCCGCTCCTTAAGTTTTTGCCATCAAACAATGAAGGGCTATTGCTTCTTTCTGAGCGCATAGAATATGGGCTAGTGCGGGGCCCGAGTATCAAGCTGCTAGGAGAATCTCCTAACACTGACTTCATCATGACCATATCAGAACTCAATCTAGACCTACGACCAGTTTTAGGACTTGAAGACCTAGAGTTAGATGTCGACTCATCAACCGGTTCTTTTTTTATCTCTGAAACAGGAATTAACGGGACGGCTTCCTTCTCTTGAGAATTGTCAGGTTTTTTAATTGGCTTCCTACCTCGGGTTGCCGTTTGTTTCATAACATTTTTCTTGACTACTGGTACCTTCTTGCTTCTTAAAGTTTTTGTTTTGCGGATACCTAGTGGTCTCTTCTTGACTACAGTTCTGGGCTTGCCCACTGTCTTTTTAGTTTCTTGAGGAACTTTTGCTTCATCTTGGTTTGTTTTTAATTTTTCCTCTTCTAAGTCTGAAGCCTTCTTCCTGGCACGAGTCTTTGGCTCAGCTATAGCTTCCTCATCTATACTCTTGTCTGTGTCTTCTTTGGGCTGTTTGGTTTTCATGTTGGAATGTTAAATGAAAATGTTCCCTGTTCTTCCGACATTAGGGAACTAGTTAACAGCCCTGGCAGATGATCCTTGTATTTACTTATTTTAAACTCGGATTGAATAAATATCACTCTTATCTTGTGTTCTATGCTACAATATATTCAGCAATAATCTTCTTAAATACTATAAACACATCAATTATCACTAAACCAATATTAAGAATTTGCTTCTTTTTTTCTTGTTTCGTCTGTTCATACTCCAAAGTTACTTAATGTATCTGAAATGTGAAACAGTAACATAAATTAACACATATCAAATCAGTTCATATCTCACTGTCATAGTTTGTGTCTTAAATAAGTAATAACACAGCTTTAACAGCCTAAAGCTAGTGAAATTGCATTTAAATCTGAGGAAGCGACCCTTATTATTGCCTATACTGTCTATTTTAGCTAAATGTCTTACGCAAATAACTAAGAAATTGTGCTTAAATTACGTGACAAACAAAAGCGATGCACTCCAATCGCAAAGTTCGCGCACTATTTTGACATATTTTTATTTAGAAATTGCCCGAATTCTATCGCTAAAATGCGATATCGATGCTTGAAAAGTGAAAATAATAAATAATATTTACATTTAGAACGACCACTACGCGAAAACAGCGTTCGGAAAAGTCATGAAAATCGTCATGTTTTGGTCGTCGCATGACCGCAACGCCACCTACAGCTGAGCGCTGCGTGTGCGTCGACTCGAGCGAGAGACAGAAAGCACCAAATCATTTCCCTACCCGTGGCGCACCTCCGTTATGTACTCGTTAAATACTCACACTTTATCCCTCCAAACTCGCAAAAGCCACAATAAACAGTCAACCGGACACTGAATGCACCATAATATGCGAAAAAGTTCAATAAAAACACGCAAATAAACTTAGAAAACGATTTTCGAAAAGCCCAAATGTCTGCAGGCGTCCGCCATAATGTTTCCTTCGAAACGAATAATATAGTTCTTATTGCTCGAGCAATCGCTCTATTCGCTATTCAAAATGGCGACCGTGTGGCGTTCCCAGAGCGCGTTCGCTCGAATTTTTGCTGGAAAAAGCGGGTTGATCCTGAACAACACTGCGGATTTGGGTGCTAAACTTAATCCGGCTTCAATATCGGTAATTATTCAATTATTTTGCCCCGCGCCGCGACGCAATGTCGCTTTGGCCCCGACATGTGACAGAACTATGGCCGTACCCCCGCGAAAACAAGTTCCGCTCGCGTTTTTGACAAATTATATTTTCAGGTTATCCGACTGCGCAAATAATTAAGGGGTTATGCTTTTCAATTCGAGTTTAATTAAACAAATGTGTTGTATAGGTTTCATAAGTTAATAACTTGAAAATATATTTATGTTTTCTTTGATCTATTTTAATTCTACTTTTTATTGTTTCAGACGTTGAAAAAACATTACTCAAACTATGCTCACTCTCCTTTCGTCAGAAAAATCCAAGAACAATATGAATTTGAGATTATAAAGAATCCACCGGAATGGGAATATGTTCAGAGACTTTTACCGTTCGAAAGTATTCCAAAAATCACACCGAAAGCGGCTTACCCCTCTGGATGGATTCCACAAAAGGAAGAAGCCAGTAATTTACCTTACTTTATTGAGAGGAACAAGAATCAGGACTTATCCATTTACCTCGATATATCATATAGAGGAATGAGAAAAATTTCTAAAATAAAAAAAATCGAGGGCGATATTTGGTTAATGAATGATGATGTAAAAGATTTTTTGAAGAAAAGATATAAGCGTTACATTGAAACTCGAGTTCACGAGTTAGGGAAGTTCATCGAGGTAAAAGGAGACTATGTAAACGCTCTAAACGAATGGGCCTATAGTAAAGGTTTTTAATTTTCATTAGGGTTAAATAGTTCAATAAATATTTTAGTTTAATATATTTTGTTTTATTAAGTACCCCCAGAAAAGCTTAAATATTTTTTCCCTGGTATACTAACTTTGCATTCAGTGTAGGTACGTACGTATTATTTAATTATTTATCAATCTACTCTATTCATAAAATATTAGCAAATTCCGCATAATAACATTAGTTAATGATCATTTAAGACCCACGTATTAGGCGGAAAAAGATGCGTCACACTAAGTTTAAAAATAATAATAATCAGTAGTAGAAACCTATTTCGCTTAGGGTACGCAGCATGAAGTGCGTTTCGTGCGGTCGCCGCGAGGGGCGCTGACGTCGGCGGAAGGTTTTATCTACGTAGCTATATAACATCCGTTCCGTTCTGGGCCTCACTCAGCGATATATTTTATTTTCGACCCGACCACACTTTGTTCAAAACAACTTTTCTACGTCTCGTTGCGGCCGTCGAGCGCTTTGATACGATTTTCAGTACGATATTACGTATAATATGAAGGTTAATATAGTTTTATGCGATAAAACTATAAATAGATCATATATTTACACGATCACACGCGACATCAATGTTTTAAAGTTAGTAAAGTTCTTAACGCGGCCGAGGAATCAATATTAACGTTTACGGCCCGATTACGTAATAAGATAAATGATTAACTGGCTAGGTACGTAATGTCCAAGGTCGTACGCTTTCAGAATGGCCATTGTAATATGTAAAAGAGCCGATACAGCTGTAACATAGGGATGTTTTTTGTTTTATACGTATGAGTGTCGATCGCTTCGTAGTGTTCTTAAATTCTTAATGTTTATGTAACTAACTGGCAGCGTTATATGCTTTGTCGACGTCAAAACGCTGATAGGACGTACTTAGATATTTCGTTGTATATGTGCTATGTAGATTGGTTTGTTACATGGCGCTGTTCGCCACGTCAACATTATATTTTTAAATAAAACACTTGAACGGTTTAAAACGCGATATATTAGTTAAACTTATTTGAAAGTGATTTTTAATAACTATATTTTTATCCATTTTAAACTTGTTTTGAATAATCTTCAGAGATATATGGTTGATTTTTAACTTTTTTGTCCTTTTTAATCATAGGTTCAAAATGTTATTTTTTATGATAGATGATTTGGATATTCGGAAAACCACAGACTAAATCCGATACGCGATTTAACTTCACGCTTTTTTGATCTGTCGATGGTTGTTCGTGTCCCATACGGAGTTTTGCTATTCCTACCACCAATTTAATATCCAGATTCCCAGACAAAGTACAACTTGTTTAAAAAAAATTTGATTAGAAACTTGTCAAACCCAACGTGGTGGTAGGACCAACGAGCCTGTCTAATACCTATGTATGTATTTAAATAAAACACGTATACGCGATATATTAGTTAAACTTATTGGAAAATGATTTTTAACTTCGGCCCGACGTTTCGGATGCTTTGCAGCAGCTGCGGTCACGGGGAGACTGACCACGTTACTAATATATCGCGTTTTAAACCGTCAAAGTGTTTTATTTAAATATGTACTACTCGCGTAAACTATAGACAGTACCTATGTATGTGTATTTTATTGAAAATTAGCATATTTTTAAGTGACTAAATTTCTTGATTAATTAAGGTAGAGTTTGGTTCATATAATCTGTGTTCGTTATTTCCGTTTGTGTATTCTAAAGTACATTTTATTTTATTTTCGTCTTAGTTTTTTATTTACACCGTTTTTTTGTTTTAGGGTAGATGACTCATGGCAAATTTCTGATTAAGTAAATTATTTAATACAGGAAATATAAAAAAATCTAATCACAAATACTAAAAAGAAAGAACTCTAATAATGATAAGTAAATAATAAATATTTTGTCTACACTAAAAAAAATATTTGTATGAAAAGCAATGTTCTTGGTAAAAGGATGTTTTGTCGACCTTTTTTCGAGGGAATAAAAGTGCGAAGCAAAGTTCAAGTTTATAAAAGCGAAAGCCCGTTTCCCCCTCGTGGGGCATGGGGCGATCACATTTCTGTGTCCGTTTCACTTATCCGTTCTTTTAACGGGAAAGTAGTAGATCAGACTTCTGTGCCCTGCCCGACCGAAACAATTTCATGTTTCCCTGGGATTCGAACCTAGGACCTCTTGCGCTTAACGTAATGCTAGGCAATACGTTTAACCATTTGGCTACAGAGGCGGTCACGAAGTTCAAGTTTATAGCTAGAAATGTAAAAACTAAAAAAAAAACAAATACAATCTTATAATTCTACTAATTCGTTGAAATAAGCTCAAAAAACAAATTGCTACCTTCAGAAAATACTTCAAGTTAAAAAAATAACTTTTAACAGTTTAAATCACTTTTAACGGTTGAATACCACGACGGCTGCAAAGCATTCCAATCGTCGCACTGTAGTTAAAATAAATTGTAAATTAATAAACTAATATTTCGTGTTTTATACGGACAAAAGGTATTTATATGTGTAGGTACTCCTTGCTAAATGTAAACTACAGACAATACTAAAATACGGTTACTACCAAGATACAATAACTAAACAAACGTGTAATACGGAGATGGAAAGCTGAAACACTTAACGAATATTAATTTGACATAAATTGAAGTATTGATTAGTTATACAAAAATAAATATTCCATAAATAAGATATAATTGTATATTATATAAAAGTAGTTTATATATTTAATATGTTACCTCGAAGTTTTATGTAATGTTCACGAAATCATAGTCCTTTAAATCTTTGAGTACACTTCAAACAACTTGTCATTTTTAAGTGTTAAGTAATTCAAATCGTAATTAGCTTAAAACGATTTCTAGTCATTAAGTAATGAGTTAGGGCTCTTGTTCGCAGAATTCGAAAATATTGCAATAGAATGTTATAGTATGTATGACGAAATACAGTTAAGATCTGTTATAGCAAGTATAAACGACTGGTCCAGCGTTACTTAAGCGGGAATATTAATAGTATGTATGACGACAAAAGAAATATTACTGTTGATTATCTTTTTAGAATGTGTATACAAGTCTTTCGTTTAAATACCTTGGCTGTTCAAGACCGTAACATCCTAGTTAAACATGTTTAAAAAATGGTCCATTATTTTTTCGATGTTTGGGGGGGGGGGCCGGGGGGGGGGGGCGGGGGGAGACACTAACAAAAATATTTCAGAAAACCTTTACTTTTTTAGTTGAATGTGTACTACAGTGTAAGTTACAAGTCTTTGTTTAAATAAAACACTTAGACGCGAAACATATTAGTTAAACATATTTAAAAATTATTTAACATACGGACTCTTCAGACGTTTTGGATATGCTTTGCAACGGCCGTGGGTAAACACGAAGGGAGAACACTAACATACACAATTTATTTAGATATATCTCGTTTTTAAACCGTTTAAGTGTTTTATTTAAATGGTGTAAAGCTCTCAAATAAGTGAATTTGTTTTAAATATCGTTGTTATAGCTGCAATAGAAATAGGTACTACATCTTTTGTAAAAATGTTAACTCTCTAGCTTTCGCGATGTGTGAGATTAAAGAAATTGGTGACAGAAGAAAGCGAAGTTTCATTAAAAAAACACTTATAACAATTTAAAACACAAAGAACATTTGTTAACTTTTCTATTTTCTTTTAATTTATTTTAACTATGGTTCGACGCTTCGGATGCTTTGTAGCAGTCGTAACGTTGGGCCGTGCAATTCATTACGAGTTTTAAACCGTTAAAAGTTTTCCAAAAAGGGTACCAAGAATTCAAGAGATATAAAACCTACACGACAGGCTATTTTTTAGCAAATTGATAATTCTAATAACCTAAAGCTCTTCTGTTTGTTTTAAATCGCTAATCTTGAGAACTACTGGTTGGAATTAAAGATTTATTTGTTGTGGGATAGGTCATTTATCGGGGCAGGCTTTACGCTCTTTAACGTCACCCTGCAACCAATAGGAGCAATGAATTAGCGGAAAATACGGAAAAAGCGGGAAAAGTTGAGGGCGTCCGTTGCGTGCGCTGCGGAAACAATTCTAGAAACCGAAAGATTATGTATAAAAGAATGAACTTTCTTTAAATTATTAAAAAAAAATGTCACAGATATTATACGTCTATCTTTTAAGTTTAACTAGTAGAAATGACGCGAAGGGACGCGGACGCCACAATTTATAAAACTAAGTAGGTTGTTTGCAAAAATAAATATGATGAAAAAGCCAAAAAAATCGATTTTAATTTGATACTATTTATTTTGTACCTATGGAAAACTAACAGCAAGTTCAATAGAATTGTCGACAAGATAACAGAAATCAGATTCATATATTTAAAAACTTTACTCAAATGCGAGCTTAGATTAAAGATTAGAATTTAGAAGAAGTAAGAAACAATTTTTTTTACTATGAACATTTAGTGTTAGCTTATGTCGCTCTAGTCATTTGCAAAATGTGGAACAAAATCCCTTCTTCTAGGAGCACACTTAATAAAAGGCATCTATGTCTTGATGTTTACATAATTAATAAAACTTGTTAGCTCTAACATTTAGGGTGCAGTTTTTCTGTATCGTTGCTAAAAATGTACTCACATTGATGATCTTGAATACTTTTTAAAAGTTATGTACGGATAAAAAGTTTTTTTTTACTCGCGATAATAATTATTAATAGTATATAACACAGCTTAGTTAAGATACTACGGTTAACTTGCTTAGTTGTATTTCTTATTTGTTACAAGACAAAAATAAATACTAAAGTATGTATTATAGAAATGTATATAAGAAACAGTGATCCATACTGTATAACAAAAAATATATATATATATATATATATATATATATATATATATATATATTAAATACAGTCAGTAGCTTACACGAGTAGGTAGTACACATTTAAATACAATACTTTAACGGTTTAAAATGCGAAATATATTTTTTACTTAAGATACCCTTCCTGCGATCACGGCTGCTGCACGTGCGTTTGTTTTTTGTTTAGCATGGTACTAGTGAAGTCGTAAGGTAGATTTTTTATCTCTTCCCTATAATAAACTAAGTAAGGAAATTACCCATGTATTTAGAAGAATCTAGTATTGTAGGAAAATTGCAAATCTATAGGGATTTGCCTAAGAAATCTATAGATTAATAGATATCTAATAACCTATAAATCTTTGTAAACCAATGCAGTATTTACTTTTTATATCTATTAATATACACTTACTTAACTCGACTTAACGGAAACAGAAGTTTATTAACACACCGAAGCCCCACCTTATCTCGTTACACAAATATTCATTGTTAAAGAGTTCTGGTGATACATTTTCCTGGCATTTATTTCCTGGTACAAGCTTAAACGAGACAATTAATTTAAAAACTCTTAAACGTTGCAGTCAGAAATGCTAAACGGCTCTCATTTTACAATACGACGAAATATACTAACAAATTAAATATTTATAAGAAAAATGAAACGGACTTTAACATTCATAATTATACAATAAATCTGAAGAGTTTATTTGTTTGTTTGTATGTGCTAACCTCAGAAACTACCTACTGGTTCAAATTAAAAAACATATATTTTTGTTTTTAGTTAAAACATTTGTCGAGGACCGGTGAAACATAGGAAAATGTAGAAAAGTCGGGAAATTAGTCGTCTTTAAAAAACATGTACGAAATAATGATTCCTCTTTGAATCATCTAATAAAATGTTCGCGACAATATATGTCTATATTTTAAGATTAAGGTTTGGAGATGCAAATGTGTTTGCCCAAAACAAACTAATCCATGCGGACGAGTTCTGGTAAAGTGATAAAATATTTATTCAATCATTTCTACATAGCTAAATCAAAATACGTATTTATTTTTGCATTTTAATTTGATGTTATTATTTTATTTTTCGTCACTTGGATCTATAAAACTTTGCAGTTCGATAACTTTAAAACTGCCGACTACAATTTAATAATAGATTATATTTTGTGTTCCGTCATTACGACAAGTTTTTTATAACAGAGAAGAACAGACAAGCATAGGATTCATTGATGGAATATAAAATAGCCAAATAATGTTGAAACCAGTTACGCCGTCGACCTATTTTGTCTCTGGACGTGAAGAATGTTATTTTTTTCATTTAAAAGAAACTCAAATAAAATTTTTAAGTGTTCCATTACTTCATAATAATATTACTAGTATTAGGTGTAGTTTCTTTTCACTTTAAAAGCGTAAACTGAATCACTACTCAGTTTTATCAAAGCGTAAACATTTTGCTCGCTTCAATATACATAATATAAAGAAAGTTTTATAAGCTCAGCTTTTTTTGTACTTTAATCAATAGGGGATGATGCAAAACCTATTTATCCCTCGCCATAAACTGCATTTGTAATACGGAAAGTAATAATAACTGGTGTTTGTCGAAGGGGTGTAAGCTCAGGTAGTCGTGGATCCTCGCTTAGGAAGGGTCACGAAATATCGTTGAATTCTTACTTCCGTTATTCTCTATACGCCTTCATAGTTAATGCATAATTATGTTTTGCCTTTACATCGTATATATGTATATATTTCTCGTATATATTATTAACTTCTATTGAATATATACCATAGGTATCATGATAAAGAAATGAACAGCTTGCCCAGCGAAACTGTTAATTGTTGCTGTAAGTACTTAGATTCGTCATATCTAAAGCATATAATGGAATAGCCGATTTCAACAAATCTAAAAGGAGTCTTAAAAATGATAATACTCGTTAGAATAAATAATAATTATTAAATAATATATTCCATAATGAAAGTTTGAATAACATGGTGTGATTTTGTTAATTCTACCGACTTTTTCCAAGTCAATTATCCTTTTCGTGACGTAACAGTACACTTCGATATAATATAGTACCGCTAGGTACATAGTAGTTATTGATGTTTTTAAATACCTTTGTTCTATCATAAATAGTTTCCGCGGCGCATGCGCAAAAGATTTTTTGTTTTAGTGAGGATCTCTAATCTTCCCCAACGATACCTAACTAAAGCCTGTAGTAGGTACTCAAGGTTAAACATAACTTTCTAATTGTGAAAGAATCAGCGCAGGATTTTTGAGTTTATTCATTATAAACATATATGTACACAAAATACAAATCTACCTATTTACAATATAGTATAGATATAGATTTATTGTAAAAAGTTAATTTGATATAAGTAGGTAGTAAGTGATGTACTCGTTAGCATAACTAATAATCGACAAGTTGTAATTTTTAAAGGTACACCTTTTTTGATATTAATTTATAATTGCCTTATACAGGAAAATCTGGATATTAATTGGAAGGTAGGAATATCGAAATTCTATCCACATCTCGAATTACCGTCCAAAGATGGTAATTCGTTGCCGTTTCAATGTCTACACATTTATTGATGTACAATAAAAACACTGTATTACCAAATTAAAAATCGAAAACAAATTGAAAAAAATTTCGACTCGGGCAGGATTTGAACCGGCATCGTCATCGCTCCGTGCTGTTGCCTAAGTATATTACCGTAGCCATGCTTACCGTTTACCATACCACTACCTGAGGTCGTTCTGAACCAGGGTAGGCTTTTGAAAAGTTTACTTCTACTTCCTATCAAACAAATTTGAGGTTTAAAATTGCGACATTTTTGCTTGAATTCTTGATAACTTCTTAAGTAAATCAGTGGAGTTCTGTAGCTAAAGAAAAGTATAATAATAAGGAATAAATATAGTAGGGTATAATAGTTACCAATAAATTATAATACTATAAATTGAAAAAATTAACTGGAACTGAGATTCGTTGTTGCCCTAATCAATTGAGCCTATGTCTGGTTGTGGCCAAGCTGTATCTCAAGAACTACGATAGTCAAAGAAATTATAGGATCATGCATTTCTCTTTACTAACCAGGTTCTTTGCTGGTAATCAATAAATGGACACATAAATATGGTGTGTACTCAGTCATATGGAACTCCTTTTTTTGTGATTTGTGTTTTGTCAAATGCATTTTAAATGTAACTAATATCTAGTATTATTAATTAAAACAAGAAACTCACGCGCGCTGTTACACATACCTCGAGTGCCAATGACGGATAAATTTGACAGCTCACTTCATGTCATAGAGCACAGACAATATAAACAATTATATTTTTTGTCACGTTCTGCGGAATGTTGAAAATAAACAAATGCTGCCATATAGAAAAAGATGTTTATTATGATCAAGCTATCTAACTAATACTAGTCGGTTCTTTCCAACAGTTTTCTGACCAATCTCCAGTCTTCCATGATGTCTGCGTCTGGCAACATGTACACCACGTACGGGGAGGACACCGTCACCTGTAAAGATAATTTGTTAACATAAAACAAATTCGACGGATTATAATGAGATAGATTACTAAAACCGGTCAAAAAAAAAAATTTACACACGGACAAAACTATTACCTACATATTTTTTGGCTACGAACACGTCACAGTTTGGTTCTTAAAAAAAATCTCTTTTCCGATATAATATCCAGACGAAGGGCAACATGTTTCAGAAAAAATATTGAAGAAACATGTTGGTCCCGTTCACATATACATTGCTACCAATAGTAGCTATGCGCCCTGCTTCCACCGAAAGCCAAGATTTTTCGTAATAAAAGCAATAAAAAACCCTAGGAATGGCGTTTACCCAACAATTTGCATCTAACATGAAATGTTTGCTACATACATAGGTATAAAACACTTTTAACGGCTTAAAACGCAAAGCATATTAGTGAACTTGTTTTTATTTTTTATTAACTACGACCCAACATTTGTCCAGCCCAGTCAAAGGACGATTTAATTTAAAAATCAAAAAAAATTACGACTCGGGCAGGACTTGAACCGGCATCGTCAGCGTTCCTTGCTGTTGCTCTATTGTACATAAAGGCTCTATTATACAATAGTGCCTTCATGTGCAATAACATAAAAAATATTAATGTTTTCAAACGTTTTCAATTTTTTCAAATACCAAGACGAAACAAATTGCGCTTAGAACTGTTAAAAATATATATGATATAACACTCAAATGTGTACTACTCTCGTAAACTACAGACAATTCTTAAATGTACATATTATAATAATACATATTTTTAGTATATTTATTAATTCAAGTACAATATATTTGACCACTTCTTTTCAACAATTTTAAAATGGATTTAAGAATATCGGTGGTAGGCATCGAACCCAAAACCGGTTGATATAACCCATACCAACGAGCCAGATATGCATATAGCGTTTTAATCAGTCGTAACAAAACAGTAAACTATATATTATTGTTAACTCGTCATTCTTATAATTGGGATTTTTTAAAACAAATGTTTTGTGTATTTGAAAGACAAACTAAAAAGGGCTATACACAAACACATGCTAATAAGGTACGCCGTACGCGTTTTCTCGCAGTTTCCACTCCGTCTGAGACATTTTTTTATGTTAATGTGGTTCTTTTTATTATTTATATAATAAGATGTTATCAAAATGATCCACCTCTGTAGCTAAATGGTTAAACGTGCTGCCTAGCATTGCGTTAACCGTAGAGAGGTTCGAATCCCGTGGAATCAATTAATTGTTTAGGTCGAGCACCGAATCGGTAAAACGGACACTGAAATGTGTTCGCTCCATGCCCCACAAGGGCAAACGGGGTTTCCCTTCCTCTAAGATGTAATAGAATTTATGTTGTACGTATATGAATAAAAATACCTGAATTCGCTTTCTTCTCTTCCGCCCCCATTCCGCCCTGCAGGACCAGAGGTCTACTGTGTGCCTCTCCTCTTCAATTTTTCGTATCTTCTCTAAAATCTCCTCTTTCAGTGATTCATATGCTAGCCATTTCTCACTCTGTGAACAAAACAAAACATGATTAACTTATATACTTATATAATTCTCAATCATTAAGTACAATTCTTTGTCCTCTACGCATCGTTGTGCAGACACATCTCTGTATCTGAATCTTCATAGAACGACACTCCGAGAGTAAAGTTAGTCTTAGAATAAAAATTACTATCAAATTTGAAAACTTTAATATATTTCACATGATGGTACTTTAAGAATTAAAAATCGATAATACATTGAAAAAATGTACGAGTCCTTTTTTGTATGTGGACGGTAGTTCGTGACCCGGGCAGAATTGCAATATTGCTACCATCCATTTAATATAAACTTTAAATAAAACATAACGGTACGCTAGGGGGGAAAAGAAACCGAAACGTCGGGCCGAAGTTAAAAATCATTTCCGAATAAGTTTAACTAATACATCCGTTTTAAACCGTTAAAGTTATCTAAATGTGTCTTCGCGTAAACTACAGATAGTAGTAAATGTTTGTTTGTTTCAATCAGTACCAGTAGTTCCTAAGATATCGGGGAGTGCTTTAGGCTGTATAACTTCACCCTTTGATCAATAGAAACAGTGAATGCCTAATAAATAAACGAGAAAATTATTCTTAAGGGCTTCCGTTGCGTGTGCTGCGAAACCGGTTTAAAAACAAAAAAATATATATGTATGAAAGGAAGACAACTATTTCAACGATAAAAAAGTGTCATCTATCCTTTGTGATTAACTCGCTAGAACCGATTTTGTGGTAATCAAAATTGATCAAAACCAATTATTTGTTTGAGTTACTTGTGCAGCATAATAATCCCAATCTCGCAAACAATAGGACAACGTTTGCCATATCAGCTTGTAATTAAATATTACGTAACGTAACGTAAATAAATATTAAATAAAAATATGATAGTAGAAAATATTTATTTATACAATTAATGTTAGCAATAATTTACAATTAGTCGGGTGAGATAAATTCGCTGTCATCATCATCATCATCATCATCACTAGTAACTTCTATTTTAACTGTTTCCATGATTTCTGTATCGCCGTATTCGGTATTCACTAACGGCTCCTCGTGTTGTACGACTTCATAATGTATCTTACTGGTACTTGGAACGGAACTGGTACTTTGGCATTTGATCCGCTTCGCTGGTGGTTCACACGCTCGCTGCCTCATGTTCTGTAGCATTTCAATCTGCTCATTGCCATAGCCTACACTCTGCGCCCATCGAATGGTAACGTCGATGGCGTCACACACCTCAGCTGTAGAAATGTCACTATCCGTGTCAAGAATGTCTTCACATTTTCCTTCTTCGTCGATAGTTTCCGAAGTAGCCAGTATTTCATCGATGTTCATTAAATGCGTTCCATTTTTGTGTTCCCCCATTCCATAATACCATGTCTTAATTTTTTCATTATCAAATTTCAATTGCACATATGGATTGATATCGATGAGTTCATTTTTTATAAAAATATTGTCTACAGCATTATCGCTGTTAGCTGAATCGGTATCTTCCTTTGCAGGCGGTGACTCCGTGAAAGTGTCCCACCACGAACGAATCTCGTCCACCGGTATTGACTTCCAGCAATCGGCCAGTAGGTACGCCATCTCCTTAAGAGTAATATTTGTCAAGTAATCCGGGTTGTCTTTTTCTATAGCCGTAGATAATAATTTATCTTTGTAGTTTTTCTTTATCATGTCGTGTATGAATTTGGATCTTTGTTCCTGTTTGTGTCCCGGGGGTACGTACAGCACTTTTATCTTTTCATGGGGCATCGCCAGATCACCGGGCGGAGGGTGACAAGTGGCCGAATCGACTAGCAGGAGGGCTCCATCCGTGTCCTCATCTAAAACCGCAGGAGCGAAGCATTCGTAGAACCACTCCTTAAATATTATTCTGTTTATCCATCCATTTATCTGGGAATCGTAATGAATCGGCATCTCCGCATTTCTAAAATCGACGGGGTCCTTAGTCTTTCCGACGACGAGTAGCGGTAGTTTATGATGTCCGGTGACATTGGTGCAAGTGAGAAACGTGAGCAAGTCGGGGTCCTTCGACTTGGGCGACCGTAGTCGCCAATACAAGCCGGCTTCGTCCAGAATATAAACTTGCGGTACAGACAACGTCGGCTTGCTAAACCGCATCGTATGATATACACGAGAGTTGAATTGCTGAATGGCGTTGTTCGTCTTTCGCGAAACGTATTGCTGTCTGACCGAAGGTACGAGGAACAGGTTGTGACGTCGTCTGAAATTATTTATCCATTCTCTATTGAAATAAAATCCTTCCTTAATTTTCAGGTCCGTCTTGAAGCGAACGATCATGGAGTGCACGTCCGAGTATGTGATGGGCAGGTCGCCGTGCGCCCTCGACGTTTGCAATATCCAAGTGCATAGAGCTGTTTCGAGACGCTTGATTTTATCTGCCTCTGTCTGCGGTTTGGGCATTATGGGACAATAATAATATTAAGAATCCGTTTATAAATATTACACGTGCTAATAAACGGTAAAAATCACGACGACACAGAGTGAAGCTGTGTGTAGACTGAGCCGCGCGGTTGCCGTTACAGCGCGCATTGTTAGAAGAGCAAGCCACTACTGTGTGAAGAAGACGGAACCATACGATGCTAAAAATAGCACCGAGGCCGTGTCCACGTCCACGAGTCTGCGTTGAATAGTTCTACAAGGCCCCTTTTCAAACAATCATACTTAACCGGTTTCTCATAAAACAAATAATGATAAGGAATATGTGATAAACGTGGACTACCAGATAACGAATAACTTTTACTTAAATAAGAATGTAAGATCACACGAACGCATGTCTAAAAATATTAAATGAGAATTTGAAATTGGTAAATGAAAGTTAACCCAGAGTAAATGAAATACTTAAATTTAGTTGTCCATAGCCTTGTTTTATTTTTATTTAGGTATTTCACCTAAAATAATTTAATTCGATGAATTTTAAACAAACAAGTAACCACGCTATGTTGTTACTTGTAAGTGATGTTAAAAATAAATAAAATTCAATTATGTACTTAGGTATTTCACAAGTACATAATAAGTATAATCTAAATCATGAGATTTTCTTCAATTTTATATTCATATTATTTATTTACTAAGTTCTGCAAGACTATGTCTTATTTAGTTATAAAGAGAAGTAGACTACCTAACTTCAAATAATATAAGATTCAGTACGCAATAGACGTAAATAAAATGGCGTCCAAAATTAGATAATAAAAAACGCATACCGCAACCACAAAATTATAATATTCAGCCATTTGAGTTAAGCATATTTGTCGGTAAAAAAAATGGTTAAGGTAATTTAAATAAAACACGTAACAATTTAAAACGCGGTTTAAAAGTGTATTAATTAAACAAGTATTACCCACGTAAACTACAGATAACTAAATCTAATACCTAAGGTAATTTAACAGGTATCGTTAAAAATATTATTAGGAAGACAAAGTCACAATTACAATATGTATCCCAATATTGCGCATTCAAATGTACTTAACGCTTCAAATTGCACCAATATAAAACAAAGAAACATCGACGAACAATTAAAATGCTATACCTATTTAAAAAATATGTAAAAATCATTTGATCGTTAGTCCATCGTTATGTTTGCAACCAATCATTCGTAGGTTCGATTTTCACTGTGTCACCATTTGGAAATACACAAGTTCCCGCTTCACTGTTCGTTTCATTTATAGCCAAGTAAGTAAGTATGTGATCTACAGAGACACGAGCACTTTATTAAAAATACCTATTTAGACACAGAACTTGTAATGAAAGTTCTGGAAAGAATTAATTTAATCGCGTTTTATTAATATTAAGACCTCACACAAACCATACTACCATTACTTATGTCGCAGTGAATTTCTCAGAAGAGTTACTTATAAATCAGACCACACACACCCAAGACACCAATATACGTCAATAAATAGCAAAAAATGTTTGCATTACAAGTTAGTCTTAAACTTTGAGGCAGTACTAAAGAAGTTTTTGTTTTACATTTAAGGGACACAATAGATATATTTTTATAATTATTTTTATTGGTTCCCGTGCTTAGTGTGTTCAAGTGAACAAAAAAACAAATCAGACTTGTTACAATAATCCAGCATAGTTTTAATAAAATTCAATAGAACACGTGTAATTGGATTGAATAAAATCGAATAATTTAAATTCCAGAAGTCCGAGGTTTAAATTCTATAAAAAAAACAATATTTTCGGTTAGATAAACAGAAGAGTGACCACTTACTTAACTAAATAAAATTCTTACTCTTCTAGTCACTTGGGATATTATATAGAAGCGTGATTGTATATTTCGAACTTCTCAATTAGAACGCTGAATAGTTCATTAGTATATATATGTTTATTTTTTTCCCGGGATCCTAATCTAGGACTGTCCGCGCATCAACTGTACAACTATTGACCGAAGCGGTCACATTATAAAGCACATGAAACCAAGGCTAAAACTTATATTATTTCCCTATATAATTTGAGGTGACGTGAATGACAGCCTTCCTTGCAGAATAATATTTTATTTTATTTAATTGTTTGATAAATAATTTATTAAATAATTTATTTAATAAATGAAAGTGAAAGTGTTCAGCGGTTTGGGTTAAATAGCATGCACTTGTCATTCGTAGCGCGACCGTAGCTACGAACTTGCTACGAAATAAGTCACTATTAGATTTAGGGCCCAACTAATCTAAATGTACTGTGTTGATCTGGTGGAATGAACGATTTGGACCCATGAGCATGAAGTGTGTTCTTTCTCGTAAGGTCATAATCGCGCATCTCGGTTCAAAAAATGGAATTGCCAGCGTGGGATATATAGGAATTATTGAGATACTTTATACCAGCAGTGGTAACAATTTTAAAGCGTCTTTGACGATAAATATGTGAAAATAAGAGTCAAGTAAGGCAAAACTATAGAACTGAAATACGTTTATTCAGAAACGAAACATCACAATCATAACTTATTCTTACGAACATAATATAGGGATTAATGTATATTTAATCAAATACAACATAATAGTTGTCTTTGTAAAGGAAGCCACCCAACTATGTTGAAACTAATGTCCTAACACTGACATTCTATGCCCCCCCTTAAGATGTATGGTTTTCTAGATATTGTTTTTCTGTCCCCGATACTATTTGATAAGGACAATGTTGAAGCTCAAGTCGTCTATTAGAGCGCGATATAATCGTTTTGACTTAATGTCCCACAGTTGGGCCACCCTGTTAACGACTACCACCACTAACGATGGGAGGCTTCGAATTCTGCTTGTCCGTTCCGTTTTAGTTAAGAAATAGCTTTATGTATTAGCTATATTTTATAACTACGTTTTATGAGTAATTATAAAACTAGTTACCTGAGAGCAGTAGAGCAGTAGAGAGTAGTGAACATAACTTTTGAATAAAACGCTTTTAACGGTTTAAAACGCATTATATCATTCAACCTGTTTAAAATTGATTTTAATTACAGTGCAACGGCTACTACAGAAATACTTAGTAAATATAACTTCGAACACACATACATACATGCTTTGCAATGTATGGATAAAAATCTTTCTGTTCTACTTTTATGGTGACGACTTACCGAGCCCTTAAATATTTCAAACTGGACTGTAAGTCTTCTTCAAAAGGATCTAGCAGTCGTTATGTGAATGTTATTTTTGTGAATATAAAAAGACTGAACAGAAACTTTATATGAATGGCGGCTTGTGGGTTCTTTTACTTTGTTGTATGCCTTTGATATTCAGAAAGAACTCAGTTACTGACATGGAAAAATAATTCCTGTAACTAGGGTTATCAACTCCCGAACGGTCCCCAATTCAATTTCAATGTTTTATAATCTATCAATGGGACGAGGTAATATCGTTAGTAACTTTTAACGGTTTAAAACGCATTATATCATTCAACCTGTTTAAAATTGATTTTAATTAATGCAAGGGCTACTACAGAAATACTTAGTAAATATAACTTCGAACACACATACATACAGCTTTGCAATGTATGGATAAAAATCTTTCTTTCTACTTTTATGGTGACGACTTACCGAGCCCTTAAAGATTTCAAACTGGACTGTAAGTCTTCTTCAAAAGGATCTAGCAGTGTTATTAATTTATTTTTGTGAATATAAAAAGACTGAACAGAAACTTTATATGAATGGCGGCTTGTGATTCTTTTACTTTGTTGTATGCCTTTGATATTCAGAAAGAACTCAGTTACTGACATGGAAAAATAATTCCTGTAACTAGGGTTATCAACTCCCGAACGGTCCCCATTTCAATTTCAATGTTTTATATATCTATCAACGGGGACGAGGTAATATCGTTAGTAACGTTTTTTCTTTTGTTTGTGTTTTTCAATAAAGAGTCATTAAAATTGTTACATGTAAAATTTTTGTTACATACAACGATTGCATTTGATAATTATATGATAAAAAGAATTATCGCAAACAAGAAGGTCATTTTATGAAAGAGGAGGAGAGAGAAGCGTAGGGCTCACACGAAGGAGAGTACCCCAGCCATATTACATCAGAAGATGATTCCCTGTGTATCTATTTTGGCCTTGGATATAGACAATCGGAAGGTCACTACCGTCTATATCACCCGGGCAAAGCAGGCAAGTTGGGAACCCTGGCTGTAACCGAAGGCAATGACGCCTTGATCCGCGCCATGTACAAGTAAATAAGGCATCTGCATCACGGACGTCACGCGCATGCGCATTATGTCCGGCCACGATCGATTCCCACTCACCTTATTCTAACTTATTCTATTTTGCTTATATTGTATCGCAGGGCTGCACTTACGGTCTTTGGGGTAACGAAAAGTTTTTACACAGAGGCCTGGTGGAAAACGAGAACACTTAGGATGGCTTGCTCATATAAAACCTATCTCTACGGTCTATAGTTTACGAGTAGTACACATTTAAACAAAACACTTTAACGGTTTGAAAAGCGTAATGTATTAGTTCAACTCGTTTACGTATTATTTTTAACTGCGCGTTGACGTTTTAAACCGTTAAAAGGTTTTATTAAAAAAAACTATTTCTGTTCGGTTAGAAGACCTTAGGTAATATAGTAAGGTAGATAAACAGAAGCCCTATAATATGTAATGATGTAAATTGTATCGTTTGACTGAATATGGTGGGGCCGTGCCTAGTAATAAAAAATGTACGATATACAGATAGCGCGATCCAACTTATGAGATGAACCAAGATGCCAATTAGCCAAAACTCCTCAATCACAAGCCACGGTCTTGCCACTGACACAACTAAAGCTTAATCACTTATTAATACTGTCTGTAGTTTACGCTAGTAGTATCCATTTAAATAAAACACTGTAACGGTTTAAACGCGATATATAATAATTAAACTTATTTGAAAATTATTTTGACTACGGCCCGACATTTCAGATGCTTTGCAGCAGCCGTGGT